AAGATTTATTTTTATTTATGCATACAAGAACTGGGGTGTAGGCCAGAGGTGTGGGGGGAGGGTAAAAGGAGTCACCAGAGACAAAGTCAGAAGTAGAACAGGCAGATCTACTGAAATACACTGTTAAGGGAAATCGTGGTCAAGACAGGCAAGGTCTGCTGTGCCATATGGGTTAGCCTAGCCTCCTGACTGGGGATCGAATTCAGGCCACATTGGTAACAGCATGATAATGCTGAGACTTAACCCCTATGCCACCAGGAAGGCCCACTGAGTATCATTCTGAAGCTTGTAGAACTATGAGAAAATTTGCTGCAACCAGGAAAACAGTTTGGACTTCATGTTGTGTTATTTCTTTCAACCTCATCTGTTAGCAAATCCATAGGTGCTATTCAGAAAAGACATTTTATGAGTATGTACATAGAAGGTTAATCTTTATTTCCCTGGTGTAAAGATGTAAAAGCAAACTAAATTATGGAGTTTATTTACTTTCGGCCAGAATAGCTCATGTTAGCTTATGATTGTAACATTTGGTTCTGTGATTTTTAAATGGGAAGGTTGAATCTTGTGAAATGCAAGTCTCTTAGTAATATCTCAAGATGGATCATGTTTTCCCTAAAATTTCCCTGGACAAGATAAAGTAATAATCAAAGTGGATGACCAAACTATTTTCCCAAGGATGGTGCAGAGTGAAGGAGGTCAAAGGTCAGATGAGAGGTTTGAGTGTGTCCTGGCAGTGAGTCGGCACAGAAGAAACCTTAAGAGAAGAGGACAGGTGAGGAGGAATCGTAGGCTATTCTGGTTCAGCTCACACACCACCTCCAAAGAAAACAAAAACTGGCTGTGTGTGTTATTCAGCAAGGTTCTGCAACTGTATTTGCATTTTATTTGCTTCCTCAATGGGCATATTATATTAGGTTTTTAGATAACCCAGCTGTGTTAGTGAGACAGTGGAAAAGATCATCCCAAGTTTGTATTTTGGAAGGAACAAGAAGAGGACCCTTGATGGAAAAATTGGGAGCTATGGTAATGCTGATTTATATCATTTGGAGACTATAGAACCAAGACATGTAAGGAAAGGAAAGTTAGTAACTGAAAATGAGCAATTTTATTTATTTATTTTTAAAAGATTTATCTATTTATATTATACAAGCACTGGATACAATCAGCAGCGCGGGAGGGTGAGAGAATTCGCCAGAGCCAGAGTGGGGAACAGAACAGGCAGACTGATGAAATACACTGCTGAGGGAAGCAGCGGGCACAGCAGGAGAGGTCTGTCACACCATGTGGGACCCTGGCCAGCGGCTGGGGATTGAACTGGCGCTGCAGAGGCTGCGGGCAGCTTCACAGCGCAGCACTCAACTGCTGCGCCACCAGGAGAGTCCCCTGGAAATGAACAATTTTAGAGTTGAGAAATTCGAGGTTTTTCCTTCACTTAGGAGCCAGGTTGGTTTAGAGGAGCTTTGATCAAACAGCATTTGTACACAAAAATACTTTTAAGAAAATATAGTTTTATACCATTAGTATAAGTGAGCTAGCTGTATGCAGACAAGATTGTGTAAGACTTTGCCTTCTACTCTTTGTCTATCCTCATAACATCTATGTTTGGCCACATGTCATATTTAAGATATGTAACAGGAACAAAGAATGAATGTCTCTGATTGGTATCCTGTTTGTTTTTTCTTCCACAGTTACGCAAATGCACTACTCTCCATTAAACTGGAAACCTTAACCCAAGGGCAAGATAACCTAAGCTGGAATGAAATTCAGAATTGTGTGGATATGATTAATATTCAAATTCTTGAAGAAAATGATCGTAAGTATTGGACCATTTTGTTCTTTGGACAGTGTACTAAGGAAAGGATAAGGTGCCAGACAACTTAGTTCTCTAGAGCTTCAAATTTTTGCTCATAGAGCCTTAAGCAGGCACACTCCTCTAATATGTCTATTATTTTATTCCTGCACTACTGTAACAACACACTATAAACATTACAACACACATGCAAAAAGACATTAAAAGAACAACAACAACACATAAATAGAAGTCCTAATATTTTCCTTAGCCCCAACCCCCACACCTCTGGCCTACACCCCAGTTTTTATATGCATAAATAAATAAATAAATAAAAACCCTCAGTCTCCAAGACCTCTGCCTTCCTGCCTTCTTGACCCAAGATCCACATTCTGAATATCTTGGGTGCTTAGGCCAATGCCACCTAGAAGGTAGGACCCCTTGCTTTGTGTCAGGCAAAACCAAGAATCATGTCTAATCTTTGTTATCTAACTCTTTTATAATCCTTTCTGGAAATACCACAGTCCAGATTTGCTTTTGTGATTTCTATATGTGCTCCTTATATAAGTGAAGCTGCATTAATTCTTAGTGCTTGACAATTTTAGTATTACTCCCATTCTTGACACTGATTCAAAAGGGGTACAGGGAAGGTGGTGCCATTTATGTCCCAGACTATCAAATAGACTGCTTTTACCAGGAAAATAAAACAAATAACATTTGTATCAAAAAAAGAACAGTCTTATTTAGGTAAATGTTCTTTCTAAGCAAAAATCTCTCCTGATTGGTGTGATGGCATTTATCTAGGTAATTGCACTACTGAGTTACTCTCCAGTGGAGCATATTTATACCACGTGGCCATTATCACTTTTCTTTGAGAGCATCTTGTTGTGTAGGTGTAGGCCATAACCAGAGTAGTTATTTCAGAGACTGCTGTTTCCTTTCTAGAATTTGGGGGATTTTATAAAAAGTATTTAATTTCTCTATGTTTTGGTTTGTTATTTTGCAAAATGATGAGTTTTTGCTTATAGTTCTTGAAGCATTGAGTTTGACAAAGTTTAAAAAGTTGGGCCTCCTCTGGTGGCGCAGCGGTTGAGCGCTGGGTTGCGAGGCTTACCGCAGCCTCTGCAACGCCAGTTTGATCCCCGGCCAACAGCGAGGATCCCACACAAAAAAAAAAGTTTAAAAAGTTAAATTGTGCTTTTTATATGTGTATATAAATACACACATGAATTGCATGTATTTGTGTACACATATAGTAAGTAAATCATCTAAAAGAGCTCATAATTTTTCATGGGCACCTTGAAAATTCATTACTCTCCATCCCACCTCTGCCACACACTTCAAGTCTAATCCTGAGTTTAAGTGGAGATGTGGATAAGGTATGGGCTAGGGAGGTGTGACCACTGTGGACAGTCAATATACTAGAGAAGATGCTAAATGCATTTCCTCAGACTTGGGTGCTCTTGATTCTTTACTAAAAAGATCACTTTTCCCAGTAGAGCCATAGAGGAACATTATTTTAATCATGTAGTCTAAAGGAGGAAGTTATTTTTCCTTTGAATATTTGCTTTTTAAATTTCATAAGTACTGATCTTGGTAGGTTACCTCATCCACTGTCTCAATTATACAAAATCTAGGAATGCCCACTCTGCCCCTGGGATATTACAGTCTCACACTTGATTTAAAGAAGGAGACCGTGGACTGAATTGCTCAAATGGGATTTCCTATTTACTTAGACATACAGGAAGTGATGCAGATGTGCCCAGGGGGGTTCTGGGTAGTTCTTTCAGCTCCTGTGAGGTCATTTACTATGACCTCAGCGGCTGTGTTCTCAGAAATACAACAAACAAAAACTTTAAGCAGGTGATTTCAATCAAGTCAGCTGGAATGCACACACTCCCAGGTGACTGGCCGTTAGGAACACACAGTCTTTTTCTCACATGTGTTTCTGTTAAGACCATTTTTGTACGGGGTGTTTAAATACTTTAGAACAGTCTATCCAAGGGAGTGTCCAGAGTATAATATGAAGTACTCTTCAGTTTATAACTCCTACAGGGTAAAATGATAATACCTTGTATGTGGATAGTACTTAGACTGGCCCAAGTTCTCCCACTGTTTTGAGATATGTAACTTGCATGTTAGAGAAGTACTTTTGCTTTGTCTTCAAATATTTTAAGTGTTATAATCTGGAATTGTTCATAGGCATTGTAGATTGTTCCATTCATCCTACAGATAAATTTTCTCATTCTTAGCAAGGTGGTATTTATGGGGTTGTTTTTTCAGGTAATATTCAGCTAAATAGTCTACCTTAATTTGTAGGTCAAGATGAGATACTTCTTAAAAACCAGAAGTGCTGTATTTCACAGCATATCATATTTATAAAGTGACTTATGATTATTGAAAAATAACTGACAAAATGAGAAATAAGTTTGGCTTTAAGAATGTTTATTATTAAGCTTATTGCTTGTTAATGCTTATTATTTTCTTTACTAACCCCTCTCTGTTAGTATATATATATGTGTGTGTGTATACATAGTTTTATGTACATTTCCATGTATATATACACATATATGAATACACTGTTATTTTATGACTGGTTGATTTTTTTAATAATAATATGGTATACAGAAGTGGCCTCCAAATAAATCCTCTCTCCTGGAGTTTCAAAAACATTTCAGATTCCATAGTTTGGTTTGTGCCTGGACTTTATTATAGTCTATACCCTAAGATCAGTGGTTTGGTAGAGATGAGATAAGGCTAAATTTGCTTATTCTTGTTTTGGTACATCCATGTTCTGAGGCATCTTATCTCAAATAAGATGTTATTTTACCAGCTCCTGTTATAGAAACAATTTGTGATATTAATTAGCAATGTGTGAACCTTAAAAGTATCCCAAAGTATGCATGACATTGTTAATTTCTATGGTGCTTACCTCTGCTTCCCAACCCCATGTTACTATTTTAATTAAAATTAAAATATAAAATTAAGTTCTTCAGTCCTACCAGCCACATTTTTAAAAATTTATAATTTCTTATGACTTAAAAGGAGAACTTTTTCTTTGTTTTCTAGGAATTGTAGCTGTAGGGTTCATCAATGAAGCTATTGACGAAGGGAATCCTTCTAGAACTTTGGATACTCTGCTGTTACCTAATGCTAAAATTAAAAATGTGGACCCAGCCTACGCCCAGCACTACCAGGATATTTTACACTATGCTAAGTCTCAGAAAGTCATGGTAAGTCTTAGTAGATTTGTTTCTCTTAAAATTACAGGCCGGATGGAGGGGAAGAAAGAAGGATTTTTGACCCATTTTTCTTCAAAGCTCATGAATTTCTTGTTCCAGTGATTGACTATGAACCAGAAAGGAAGTAATAGGCTGTTACTTTCCTGGTGTCAAGCATTACGGGGAGGCAGGCTCCAGAACTGATTATAGCTTCTACTCCTTCGTTAAACACTCAGTCTTGGGTGAGTTCTTTTCAGAGTCCAAGTCAGTGGATATTTACTGGGTACATACTATGTGTGATGCAGAATACGGTGTCTGGTCAGAAAACACGGGATAAGAAGAGCATATGATAACATTTGAATATTCCCTGTCCTTATCCTCAAGATACTTAGAAACTTAGTGAAGAATGGGCATTCTTGAGTAGAATAACAAAGTAACAATAGAAATATGTGGCAAAGTATCAAAATGAGGAGGGCGCAAAATGATTCAGAGATGGTTAGGACCCATGTGGACTAGACTCCTAAGAGAAGCTGGTGTGTGAATAGAAGAGGAGCTGCACCTGCAAGGAAGCAAGTGCTGTAGGGTAGTGAAAGCAGGCAGGGAATGCAGTGGTAGGCAGGTACTAGCATGATTCATTCTGGGCATGAGAGGAAACTGAACTAGTCAATCCTTTTGAGAAGCAGGTGATTTTATCTGGCTGCAGAACTTGTATGATATTAGGAGTCATACAGGCACCAGTCATACTGGACAATTCCTAACTGAGTGGTGAGGCGTATGTGACCTGTTTCCTGAGAGCGGGAGTGAAGCCATCTGGGACTAGCCACTGTGGCTGCCACGTCCTCAGGTGCCAGACCAACTGGGAAGGGGTAGATATCTCCTTTATATCTATGCCTTCAGAACCCAGGAATGAACTCATCTGAAACAGGAAAAAAGCAAACATTTATTGTGCACCTGCTATTTGCCAGGCATTATTAGGTACTTTATACATATTATATTCAACAATTCATAGCAGCTCTATGAATTCAGTATCACTCACATAACCTTTCAAATAATGAAACTAAGACTAAGTTGTCCAGACCTATCCATAAAGTAATTCGTTATGGAACTATGTATGCCTAGGTCTATCTGATTTAGTAGCACTTCATTGTGTAGTAAAGTGTGCAGATGCAAAAAAAATTTTTTACATGTTTATGACAGCAAAATTTCAAAAGCAACCTAAATGTTCCTTGAGACAGTACTGGTTAAGTAAATTGCAGTATATCTCTATAGTGAAATACTATGTGGCCATCAAAAAGAATGAGTGTGTCTATACTGGGCAGTCTTTAATACGTGTATTGTTAAGTTCAAAAATCATGCTTCCAGTTGTTTATAGATGCATACCTATAACATATATCCATATGTGTGTACAGATGTATATATGCTTATAAGTGCATAAACTTTCAGAAAGGTATACTAGAAGGCATGTATATATAGGAGACTCCTTTTTCACTCTACTTTTATACTGTTCAGGTTTTCTCTTTTAGAGTGTGTCTATTATTATAAACTCAGTGTTTCTAAACTTTGAAAAAGCAATGCAAACAGCTCACAGGGGGTCAGTTCCTCTAGTAATTCTTCTAGTTTCTGGAACAGAACCTACAATCCCAATCCACATTTTCCCTTAAAGTAACTAAGTTCAACTCAAGTCACTAGAAATATTTTGGTGTCCAACAGCATACAAAAGTATTGCCTCTGGGGGAAAGAATTAAGTGGCTAGGGAAGATAAAGATACACTTTTGAATCTTCTTAATTTTGCACCATGTACTACCCATGCAAAAAAAATTAATAAAAATTCAATAAAAGTAAAAAAATGTTCTAATCACTCCATACCTCTAAACTGCCTCATTAACAGTAAAGCAGCCTCTCCCCCAGGTGGGTCTCCTGTACTGTCAGCCTCTGGCGGGGATGGCAACAGTTTCCTTGCCCTTTTTCCTAGCAGATGTTCTTGTTCAAATCTTCCTCATTTGAGCCCCCCTAAACTGGGAGTGAAGGTGTCCTCACACTGATGTGAGTGAGCCTGGGGCTTGGCCTGAATGCTCGGCCCGTGAATGGGTGAGATTCAGACCCCACACCTTGTGTCCCCACATCCCAGGGGTAGAAGAGGAGACTCAGTGAATAGGGAGTGGTCTTCCTTCTCCTTCCCCCTGCCCCCCAATGGACTGTCACCATGGCACACTTACCAGCACTGGAAGATAAAGTTTGCTTTGGAAACAGGCACCATTCAAATCTTGGCTTTGCTAGGGATTTTCATCAAGTTACCAAAATTCTCTGTGCTTTGGTTTTTATGTATGATAAATGAGAATAATAGTGCCAGAATTATAGGATTATGGTGAGGATTAAATGATAATATATGTATAATATATGGCATATAAACATATGTTATATAACTGTGTATCACTTTAATAATATATATGTAATAGCATATAAACATTTAGCATGAAGCCTGACACCCAAAAAAGTGCTAAAGTCTCTGCCCCAAAGGGAAGTGAAAAATGATATCTGTGTCACAAGATCCTTACTAGGCTCAGGAGTGCTCATCCACAAACCAAAGTAGGGGATCTTCTGGACACAGGGTAGGGATAGACACTGCCTTCTGCCTTGAGCCACAGAGGGGCTCGCCCGTGGGGTAAGCCCATCTCCACAGACCTTTCAGAGGCAGCAGCAGTGGTGTCCACAGAGCATTCCAATCTAAGGGCTCTGCATTAGGTGGACCTCCACAGGACCCTGCAGGGCGACCAGAAGCCTTCCCTGAGTGCCCACGCTTTTCCAGCTCTCTGTCGGGCATCCTTCCTAAGTGTGAAAGCAGTAGCTTCAATACTATAGTGTAATTAGAGCAGTAAATAAGAGCCTAGAGGTCTGGGTTCTAGCTCAGGCCTTAAACCACTCTGGACCTATAAAATTAGGGCATAAAATGTGTGGGCAGTATCCAACAGATGTACACCAGCACCATTCCAAGCAGTGAATCTTAGGTAGCTGAATTTCTATTTATAAACATAGTTTTCTTTTCCTGCTCATTGATTTTGAAACTCATTTTTTAGCCTTTTCTCTTTTCTTGGAAAACAGTCTGATGGTTTTGTTTATTTGTTGGTTCTGTAGTTATTTTTTAACTTCTATTGTTTTGATGGCTGAAACATCCAGTTATGTTTTAATGGTAGCATTTCTGTGCCTTGCCTTCCCAAGGTCTACCCTTGGAAAGTAATAGAAAAAAATTACATTCCAGGTTTTGTCAGTGTAAGGTAAAGCTTACATATTCAAGGCACGATGGATAACATCTTCATAGAACAGATACTCAGTTTTATGGAAGACTGAGGACAGTGATGCTAGTTGGTGAGACTCTTGGTCTTACTGAATAGTATTTCAGGTGTGACCTTATGTAGGTGGCAGATTCCTTTGAGTAACATACATGTTGGCATCTACTTAGCAGACACCTTTTATGTCTATGCAGTGAATTGAGTCAGTGAATTGCCCATTATTTTGAAATTGAAGACTTTGCTTAAGAACATATGAATTATATCCTGAAAAATTTACTGCACACTTACTGCAACTGTGCTTTTAATGAGAGTATTAATATTGTTGCCTTTTCCTCTAGATAAATCTGCATTACAGTTGACAACTTCATTGGCAGGCTCTAATTCCTTCCATTGATGTTTTTGTCATCTTGAAATTTATTTTAGATTTTTTTCTTGCTATGGTGTTAAACCTATTTTTATTATGTAAGCCCCATACTTTAAAGGGTATTCATATGCCTGTTTTTTTAACCCATGTCCAATGAAAATAGAAAACTCTGCACACTCAAAAATACACATTTGAAATAGTTTAATTGTTTTGATGGTCAATACAAAGCATATGGTCAATGCACATTCCTACAGACTTGAAAATTTATATCATGAATCCTCCATGCCCTTAACCACTAATATTCCCCCTCTTGTCTAATCCCTAAATTAAGGGAAAGTAAGTCATTTATCTACAGGAATATTATGGATATTTTAACACAATATTTTCCCCATTAAAAGCTATATTTAAGGAATAAAATAATGGAGTTATTTTAAACTTTGAAATGACCTTGAGTTATATTCCTAGTTTCCTTTTTTTTTTTTTTTAGATGCCCAACCAAAAAATAACATCCCATGATGTACAGAGAGCCTTACCTTCTCAGTATGAATTTAATGGACTTTCATGCTGTTTAGGTATTTTGGGATTTATTCATTCAGGCATATGATATACAGAATTTGAACTGGATCCTGTAGACCCTGAGAAAAATTCATTCTAGGGTTGCTATAGGGAGCTCAAGGAAGGGGGAGGAGGAGTCCTTTCTCTACGTGGTGCTTAATATATGTTAATGGAATTAATATTTGTATATAAGTGAAGTGTATTTAAGTGCCATAATAAAAATAGAAGATGTACTTTGAAGGTTCAGACAAGAAAAATAAACATCTAGCTTGGAATCAGGGGATATTGGTCCTTAGACGACTTCCAAAGATGGAAAGAATTAAGGCAAACATGTTAGAAATAGCTTTCCAGTTAGTGGCGGGGGAAAAGAGGAGAAATCGAGATCACAGCAAAGCAAGAGACTTGGCTGGTATCTATACTATAAGCAAGATTGTTGGGAAGTAAAAGTAGAAAACCAACCCTGAATACCAGCTTAGTGATGTCTAATTTATTCCAGAAGCAGTGAGGAGGCGAGAAGGGTTTTTGCATTGGGGGTTTTGAGTAATGTATTCAAAGTGATACTTTAGGAAGATTAATTTGGTCTTGAAAATGGAGGCTAGGCTGGCTGTGAACAAGTGGTTAAAAGACAAAGAAAGGACTAGGATGATATGCTCTAGTGACAGGCATCATGAGGATGGCAGCCCCCAGAATGAGTGTTGAAAGAAGCAGAAAATCTAAAATGATGCTAAATATTAAAAAGTGACATCTTAACATTTCTCATCATTCAGACCCCTGTTCTTTCTCTCATTAGTCTCCTTCTAAGTCATCTATCATCTAGAGTAGAAACCAGATAGATATAGGGGAAATGGAGATATAAAAACTTGAAAGACCAGGAAGGCAAATGATAAAGTGTCAGTTACTATAAAAATAATGGTAATATCTTTTCTCTTGCATTGATATTTTTAAAGTATTGCTAGCACTTTTTTTTTAAGTTAGTGGTTTTATAGTATTTTCTTTTGAAGCACTATTTCTCAGGAGCTCAAAAGTGTAGCTAGAGACCACAGTTCCCTACACTGTGTTATCGCAAGTATGTATATTTTCACAGATAGCTTTCCTTATTCCCTATGATGACTTCACCATTGTAAGGTAAGAAGTAGGGTGATCTGTGATTTTTGACATGAGAAAATAAAAGAATGGATCTAGGCAACTATTCAGGCTACTTAGGCACAAGGCTATGAGATAGATAAAGTACAAGCCATCAGTGGTGGTATAATAGTAGTTAGCATGGTGAATAATAAGTATAATGTTGCTTGGTGCAAAGCAAATGGTAAAAATCACAAGAACAAGGAGACTCGCCTTAACATACCGTAACCATCTATGATCATAAGAGTTAAGCGTCCGAATGATGGCTGTATAGCAGTAGATAATGACCACAAATGGAACTAAGAATCCAAAGAATGCCAAGGATATGAAGTAGTAGAGTTGGAAGGAAGATGAAGACTCGCATATGTTGTGGACATCATGGCAGGTGGTGATGCCCTGCTGGACAAGATAATATTCCTGCTTCAGCATGAAAAATGGCAACATATATAAGAAAACCGTTGTCCACACCATTATACAGGCTAGGGTGGCGTAGCTGCGTTTAGGCAGCACCCTGTAAGTGAAAGGATGGACGATGGCGAGGTAGCGGTTGATGCTGATACAGGCGAGGAGCAGAATGGAGCAGTACATGTTGCCGTAGAAGATGACTGTGGTGAGCCGGCACATGACTTCTCCGAATATCCAGTTGTTCCCATTAAGATGGTAGGCGATCTTAAACGGCAGTGTGACACAGAATAGAAAATCTGCAATGGCCAGGTTGGTGTAGAAAATGGTCATGCGCATGGATCTGGTCCTGAAGAAGAGCATCCACAGGGTCACCACGTTGGCTGGCGCACCTACTACAAATACCAGGATGTAGATGGTGGGTATCAGTTTGGTGCTTAGAGAGCTACTCAGGTACTCTGTGGTAGCGTTATTCACGTGGATATTTGAAACACTTTGTTCAGGGCACTTAAATTTTACTGTTGTGATTTCTGTCCAGCCTTCTATAGCAGAAGGGGGAATCTCTTCCAAATCATGTTGGGGAACTCCACGGAAGTTCTTAATAGTTATGGTTGGTCTTGCCAAGTATTCTTCATCATCTTCCATACCTGTAATTGAAAAAAATCTATTGACATATGATTTGTTGCTGAACTGTGTCTGTGGTTCAGGAGACAATAAAATGAAATGTCTAATGCTGGGTAATTGCTATTAGTTGTGGAATTTAGAGTCACTTTAAAAAAAAAAAGATTTATTTATTTATTTGTACAAGCACTGGGTACAGTCAGAAGCGAGGGAGGGTGAGAGAATTCACCAGAGCCAGAGCAGGGAACAGAACAGGCAGACTTGATGAAATGCACTGCTGAGGGGAGCAGCGGACAGGCAGGAGAGGTCTACGTGCCATGTGGGACCCCCGGCTGGCAGCCGGGGATGGAACCAGCACTGCAGAGGCTGCGGGCAGCTTCGCAGCCCAGCGCTCAACCGCTGCACCACCAGGGGAGGCCCTAGAGTCACTTTTATATTAGGAAATTGTTATAGATCTGATAATCAACAGGTATACATTTAGTATATATTATTTGCCCAAGCATCATACTAGCCCATGCATGAGTAAAAACCAGATGACAGTTGCATGCATGGAAAGAGTTTATAATACTTTCTAGGAAACAAAAATAGTCCATCAGACCATTAGAGGCCAGTGTCACTCAGTACAGACTGTACAGGCATTGAGGTAATAGCAGATTTAGATGTTTGAGCATAAATACCAAGGAAAAGTTGAATGTGATCAAAGATGAGCAAGGTTCAAAAAGAAATGGAACTTAATAGATGAACAAGATTGTGGTAGGTGATGAATGGGCAAAAGCGTGGTGTGAACTGACATGGCATCTGGGAATGTCAGATAAGTTAAATCAGCAAATGTTTATTGCATATTTAGATGCCAGTGATAGAAAATTTTAAATTCCATCTCTGTCATCTCTTCTCAGATTAGAATATTTACAAAAATGGATTTTGTCTCATGTTAATAAGATATATCCTAGAAATGGAATTAGAAGAGTATGTTACAGTCCTATCCCTGAAGTACCTCTAAACTATCCTAAGAAATCATGGGCCCACTTCTAGATATGCAGGTTACATACATACAGTTGTAAACAGAAGAATGACCATCATGATAGAATAGAATTCCACCCCCCCCCAAAAAAAAATTCCACATGCTAATTCCTGGAACCTGTGACTGTGTAACCTCTTATGGCAAAAGAGACTTTGCATCTGTGAATGAGGACCTTGAGATGGAGAAAGTATCCTAGACTGGCAGGTAGGAGACATGTACTCATAAGTCCTTGTTAAAAAAAAAAAAGGTGAGAGGGTCAAAGTCAGAGAGAGCTGTTTGAAGATGCTATTTTGCTGTCTTGAAGATGGAAGAAGGAGCCATGAACCAAGGAATAGAAGGTGAAAAAAGCAAGTAAAACGATTCCCCCTCAAAGCTTCCAGAATGAGGGCCTCCCCTGGTGGCGCAGTGGTTGAGCGCTGGGCTGTGAAGCTGCCCGCAGCCTCTGCAGCGCCGGTTCGATCCCCGGCCACCGGGCGAGGGTCCCACATGGTGCGACAGACCTCTCCTGCCACCCGCTGCTCCCCTCAGCAGTGTGTTTCGTCACTCTGCCTGTTCTGTTCCCCGCTCTGGCTCTGGTGAATCCTCTCACCCTCCCACACTTCTGACTGTACCCAGTGCTTGTATAAATAAATAAATCTTAAAAAAAAAAAAAAAAGCTTCCAGAATGAACAGAGTCATGTTGAATTTTAAACATGTGACCTCCAAAAAAATAATAAATCTCATATTTCAAGCCACTGAGTTTGTGGTAATTTGTTAAAGCAATAATAGGAAACATAGCCATGATTTGACTTTTATTTAAGATGGCCTTCGTAACAGTGTAGAGAATAGATTAAAAAGTTAAAAAACTGGAGGCACTGGGAATCTGATTTGGAGGCTACTGTAATCATTCATACTCAAATGGTGAGTTGCGGAGCTAAAGCACTGGCAGAGGGAAGCTGAGGGTGAGCACACAAGACCCATGATGGAGAGTTACAGGGACTTGGCATCAGATTGACTATGGCAGCTTAAGGGAGAGGCAAGAGGCAATAATGACTTGGAGGTTTCTATTCTACATGACTTGGAGAAGGAGATTGGAACAAGGGAAGTAGCATGGGGAGAAGCTAAAATCTCAGTTTTTGGTTTTATGAAATGAGTTACCAGTGGGATATTTATATGTAAAAGGTCCATGGCAAGTTGGAAGACTTAGGTGTTGAGTTCAAAATTCAGAAACCTAAGTGAGAGGTATGAATTTTTCAATCTTCTATAGATTTAGTAGCAGTGGCTGAATGGTAAAGGGAGAAATATCAGAAGAAAGATTCCAAAGGAAAACTTTAGGGGAAATGCCAGACTTTAAGGGGGAGGAGAAAATCAGAACATGACCTCAATAGGATGATCTAAGAAGTTAGAAATGGAAAATTAAATACAACTGCTGCATACTATGAACAACAAGCATTTATGGGGCATGTCAATTCTTGAAAGATCAATTTCAAAAAAATGAACTTTAATATTCAGATCTATATCTCACTATATGATTTGTCTATAAATTAATCCCAGACATGTGTAGAGGGTAGATTCTTTCAAATTTCTAATGTTATCTTAAAGTGGGCTTTAATGCTGAATATAAACCTCATACTTACTAATTTAAAATGCCTTTGCTTTCCAGTTACATCATTGCATGTGACCTCTGAATTCTTACTTATTGAATACTTGAAGTTAGAGTTTAGTAACAGGTTCTCATTCAAAGCCAGTTTTTCTTCCGGCTTTAATCTCTGGCAGTTCACCTCTGGGTAAAATCGAAGCCTCCTTCCTAACCCTAAGTGTTGCATGAACAGAATTCAATGCATGATGCAGAGGAAGAGTGTTGCCCGGACAAGTAGGGGCAGGGAGGTGCTCGGGTGTTATTCAAGGAAAGGCAGATTAAAGAAAAGGAGAGAGATCAGAGGGAGGGGGAGGGCGGAGCACAGGGGACTGAGGTGATGGGGAAGGAAACTCTATGGGGACTACACCTGAGAGAGAGAAAGCAAACATTGTTTAAAAATGAACAATGATGTAAAAAATACATTAAATAAATTAATTTAATTTAAATTAAAAAAGGAAAAGCAAAGCAAAGCAAAATCCGAAGCAGCATTTGCCTGTCTGTTTAGATAAGGCGCTGTTGTGTGACTCTCGGATGCAGCCACATGAGTCCTTCTTACTCTTGTATTTGGAAAAGTTCTGGTAGTTTTGACATCACTAAAGAGAAAAACTTATAAAAATAGGCACAGAGCTGGAAAATGGCAGCCCAGGACATGCAATACAAGTTATTTCCCTTCAGGATCTGATAAAAAGAGCTCTTAAAAACCGTGTGTCTGTTTTTAGAAAATTTCCTGTGATTAAGCAAGACAACATTCCTGAGAACATGCTGTGCGGTCACTGTGAAGAAGTCTTGCTTCTGTTTACCATGAGAATTCTGGCTCTGCCTCAGCACAAATGAGTCTTTCAATCCCTAGAGCCTGGTTTCCTTAAGAACAGTATTAATGGGTAAAATTCATATTTTTTAAAGGTTTATCGAATTCCTTATGCAGATTTTCCACTTGGCATATTTCTGAAATGTTTTTCAGAAGGGACCTTCCAGAGAAACTGATCCAAAAGGAATGGACTTCAGTCCTGAGATAATGGGTTCTTCCTGCACAATTCTCCCCAACTTCTATCAAAGAAAGCATATTAACTGATGTTTGCTTTATTTCCTCTGAACTTCTCCATTTTCACTTCCATCAGACCCCACCAGCATCTTAAAGGAACCACCTCCACAAATCTCTTGTCATTCTGCTGCATTTTGGTTCATCCACTCCCAGGAAGAGTCCTCACTTACCTGTTCATAAGTCCCACAGTGTATACCACTGCTATCCACATCTTCTGTTCCAGCTACTAATTTCCAGCAACATTTCTTTACAGAGATCAGTTTTTCTCTGTCTTCCCTTTGTCCCTCTCCCCAATTCTCCAACTTCTAGTAACGTTGACTAGAGTGTGACCTAACAGTGTAAGAGTTGTAGGTACCAACTTATCCCAAACTAGTTAATTTTGGAACAAAAAGGAGATTTCAAGCCAACATTGTGTTGAGTGAAGCAGGAAATACATTGCGAGTTGAATAATACTTGGAAGATCTCATTTCTAAAATTAAATCTTATATGAAGGTGGGGAGAACTTCTGGGTATGTTTGAAAATCAAAAAAAGTATTTCATTTGAGAAACACTAACTTCTTAGCATTACTGTTTATTGAGAGCAGACTGGTCACTCAATCTCTCTGGGAATATTCATGTTTCCCCCATATATGCTTTACCAGGCAGTATAAGCATAGCCTTTTTTTAATGTCTTGGAAAAGTGCTGTATTTGTTGAAACACAGGAAATTCTTAGAAAATCAAAAAAACTGCTCACATAGAAAAATGATCCTTGCCTAACTGTAGAGCTCTCAAATCTGACTATGGCACAAATTTAAGTATGAACCAAGAGAATACTTGTTTGTTGACAAGATCTGATTAGAGTGAACAAAACTATAATTATTCACTCCCTTGATTTCACCTTCTTCTAATTGAGATTAGTCTCTGCCATTTTTATGGAGTTTGTGTGAAATGCAAAAAAAATACTAGATTCTCTTGACTTGTGTAACACAAACCAGCACCCTCCTCTACCCTGGCAAGAAAAGAGCTTACCGCTTTGACACAAAGTGAGAGACAGAAGCATTGCTCCAACAGCTGCAAAGATGAGGGTTTTCATCTTGAGGACTTGTGTTCCCTTTTCCAGTTGTTATCAGGTATATGAGAAAGAGCACGATTTCACCTCAGTTCCATATGTTAGTCACAAAAGGAAGCCTTGCTCTCTTGTAGAAGCGTGCTGTCCCATGCTCTGCCGTGCTCTGCAGGCAGGAAGCTCGCTGGGGATCTCTTCATGGAAAGGGTGTGACAGCACTCATGTTCCACTCTGGCCATGTGACTCATCCGGAGCCTCTGAGTATGTTCTGTTTTCCCCAGGGAAAGTCATTTAACTCTTCCAGATCCTCAGAAGTCTGCTCTGAGTCGATGCTAGAATTCCTACCCAGTGTGTTTATGTGCATTAAAAAAAAAATGTAGTAACATACAGTCCTTTAAGAACTGAACTGAAATGAGATGCTAAGCAGAGTTTTGTCTTATAAAGATTTATTCATTTATGCATATAAGAGCTGGGGTACAGGCCAGAGATGTGGGGGGGAGGGCGGGTGAGAGGATTCACCAGAGACAGAGTGGGGAACAGAACAGGCAGACTGACCAAAGTACACTGCTGAGGGGAGCAGAAGGCAACTCAGGAGAGATTTGCTGCGCCATGTGGGTTGCTCCCTAGCCAGCCGGGGATCGAAGTCATGCTGCAGAGACTGCAGATTGCTTCATAGTGCAGTGCTTAACCCCTTGCGCCACCAGGGAGGCCCTAAGCAGTAGTATTGAATCTATCCTATATCCCATGTTTACCAATTTTAAAAATGAAGTTTCAGTATATAATTTCTATTTAATAATTGAGTTGTCAAATTATTCTTCATCCTCTTAGCCATTTAATTTTTTTTTAAGATTTATTTATTTATTTATACAAGCACTGGGTATAGTCAGAAGTGCGGGAGGATGAGAGAATTCACCAGAGCCAGAGCAGGGAACAGAACAGGAAGACCAAGAAGTACACTGCTGAGGGGAGCAGCGGGCGGCAGGAGAGGTCTGCGCGCCTTGTGGGACTCTCGTCCGGCAGCCGGGGATTGAACTGGCGCAGCAGGGGCTGTGGGCAGCTTCATAGCCCAGCGCTCAACCGCTGCGCCACCAGGGAGGCCCATCGCTCAGCTATTTCAAATCTCCTTAAACTGGTTACATAATTATAAGTTGATCATGGAAGACAAACATTATTTAAGAAGTTGATACTTAAGAAGTATAATAGTGGGCCATCCTGGTGGCGCAGTGGGTTGAGCACAGCACTATGAAGCTGTCCACAGCCTCTACAGCACCTGTTTGATTCCTGGCCGGCCAGGGATATTCCCACATGGCCTGGCAGACCTCTCCTCTCTGGCCCGCTGCTCCCCTCAGCAGTGTATGTCGGTCCTTCTGCCTGTTCTGCTCCCTGCTCTGTCTCTGGTGAATTCTCTCATGCTCCCATACCTCTTGCCTGTACCCCAGTGCTTGTATAAATAAATAAATCTTTAAAAAAAGAAGTATAATAGTTATTTCAGTGTTTAACACTTGATTCCTTTGAAAATTGCATATCAGTGTCGTAGTGATCTGAATTTGTCGTCATTGTTGGCCAGAACTTGTTTGTATAATGTTTTGTTTTGCCACAGCTCAACATATTGTAAAGCATTAAATAACTCAAAGAGTCAGATAACTAGTAGGGGACATCTCCAAACAACTCTGATTAAACTGAAATTATAATACAACTTTGGAATGCAGAGAAGACTCTCTTTATTACAACTCATTGGTGTTAAATACACTCACAACATGTAATCTTTTTATGTAGTTACATTATGGAGGGTATGATTTAATATATAGTAAAAATAACCTGCATTACAGCAGATTTTCCTGTGATTAATAAAACTTAAGGTTAAACACTAAGTCAGACAACCCAACAAGTTTGTTGTTTATAAAATGTAGCCAGAATCAAAGATACAAATCTCATATAAGATTTCAAAGGCTGAGGGATGGATTAGGAAAGAATTAATCTACATAGACTTTTCGCCTCTTAATTTCATCACAATAAGAGTTTTGCAATCAAACGTCATTATTTAATACTTCAATATTTAATGACAATATATGATGGCACAAATGGAAATAGGATACTCATATATAACCAAAACCCCACAAAATATTGAAGAGAATTTTTTTTTTGTCTACAATATTCTAGGAGTCATTTAAATTCAGGGATTTATGACTTGATTTGCAGGTGGCCTACTTTCTGTTCATTTAACCAATTTCTAACTCATTTGTTGAGCCTGACTATTTAGCTGGAAGTTAGTGTGGCCATCCTGTAAATATACTGCAATTGAAAAGTAGACCTTACAATGGTGGTATCTGAATATTACTCTTGGTTTTGCATTTAACTCTAGCCACCTTAAAGTTTAGTACAGTTCAATGAGTGATGTGAACTGTTGACTTAAATTGATTTGATTTGCAATGTCTCTATTTAGTTTGGTATATAAATCTGTTCTTTCAGTGTTGAAGTAGTATTGTAACTTCTCATCTGGATGAAAGTTTGTATGGCTCATTTTCTATAGTGGTAAGGTATAAAGAAAGAAGCTAAATACTCTTCCAATAAATTAAGACATCTATCAATGAACTTATATGGAGCTTAGTGTTTAGCTGAGCGTGGAAAGTATTTGGATTCTCTTTGGTTTTGGAAACAGAAAGAAAATAGTACCTTCTTTCCTGTTTCTTCATCCTTCTAATCTTCAACTTCCCATCGTGCTCGCTGTTTGAATCTTCCCCATTCATTCTCTCAAGAAAACCTTACTAACAGCTGAAAATCGTATTAGCAGTTCTCATGGGGCAAGGTCTCGAGATAATTGCAGAAGCAGGTGCCAAGCCTTCTGCAGTGGTCTCTGTTAGTCAGAACATGCTGGATAAAATAACAGACTGTCTCATTTTCAGAATCCTTTCCACATAAATTATCTCATGTTAGCCTCTGAGAAATAGAGTTGAAACTTGCCAGAGAAGGTGGTAATGTTATTTCTCTTTCCTGGCTCCACCTAGATGAATCCTCAATGATGTTGCTGGTTCTCCTTGGCTACAGTCAGCTACTTCTTGCTCGTCAGTTTTGAATTAAAGTTTAGTACATGACACATAATCCCACATATAGGTAAATGTTCCCATTTTTTATAGTAGAATATGTAATTTTCCCTGAAAATATTTAATTTATGATAAAAAATTTATTTGTAATATTGGACAACTTTTTATAAATTCAATTGACTGTCTGAAAGTCCCATTTATTTAAAGTATATGCCAGCTCCATTTATAGCAAGATTGTAATAAAACATAAAAGACAGTAAAAATAATTATGTTTTCATTACTGCTGAAATGACTATCTTTAGCTATTTAGTCTTTCTGCCCCTCAACTCACAACCCCCCCACCAAAAGTTAACCCTTTTTTGGTTAGTCATGTATCTACAGCTAATAGGGCCCTAACCATACTTATCACATTGTATTATTATTTTGTTATCTGTCCCTTCTACTAAAGTGTTTATTCCATGAAGGCAGTCACCATGTTTGTTTGCTTTGTTTGTTTTCTGTCTCATAGCTGATAAAAGTCAAGTATCATTATGTTTCCCTCAAATTTTTAAAATGTCCCATGGCTCTCAGGATTACCTTAGGAACCAAAGTTACTGAGAGATTGGGGGAAAGGTATTTGACTAGAGTGGCCAGCGAAGTATTTAGAAGTAGTGGCATTTGAATTAAGGCCTGAATGATGAGAAGGAACTGATAGCCATGCAGCTAGGGTGGAGGGTGGTGATCAGGAAGCTGGTCTGAAGGTCCAGACAGGGAGTTAGAGAAGTGGGTGGGGAAGCCAGATTGGCCAGGAGGTCCAGGTCATTAGATCACCTGAGTCCTGGAAAGGGAGTTCCAACTCCCTACACTAAACCCCCATGGTGGGGGTTTAAGAAGAGTAGTGTAATGAGATGTCCATTCTGAAGCTTATAGACCAATGTAGCTGTCCCGTTGAGAGTTGGTGGTGGGATTGACTAAAGGAGTGGCAGTGCAGAAGCAAGAAGCAGTCATATCTGGGAGCTATTTGATTCAAAGCTTGAACAGTCTATGACAGTGCTTGATAAATGCTACATAAGAGCTGGAGGATATTATAAAATGGTTCCTGAAAGCGGTTATTTTTTATGTCATCCATCATTCACTATCTCTTCCTTTGTTTCTTTTGTTATAATATTCCTAGGAGAATGAGAACACTTCTAAAGTTCTTTGGCTGGAAGAGATTCAGCATGCAATCAATGAGGCCAACATGGACAGAGACAAAGCCAAAGAATGTAAGCCCTCACCTCCTTGGATCGCCCAGCTTGCCTTGTTTTTATCTGGTTATGTGCCTGAATTTTTAATTCATAATTTTAGAAATTATTTGGTTTTTAATTTCTGGGATTTGAGCTTTTATCAATTTCATGATGCATATTTATAAAAATAAGATGCACTGGTTATACTGTGGTCAATGATTTGGCGCTCCTCTCCAGCAAAATCTATGAATGTTGCTGAACAAAATCCAGAAAGCAAAAAATGGTTTGTAAGCTCTCTAATTTATAGTTTAAAGTTATTTTTATCTTGATTCTTAGAAAACTACACCATTTCTGCCTTACAAATGCCTACCCATCCCTTCCCTGCTGTCCACTGTTTTCCAGTTTTCCAGAGAATCTATATACTTCACTATGTATATTATTACTATTTTAATATAAATATAAATCATTTTACATGAGCATATTTATAAATACAATTTTATATGAACATATTTATAAATATAATAAAATATGTATCTATATAAAATGTATTTTTATACACCATATATGTGCTACATAGCACTATATACATTGTTCTGTTTCTCTGGGAAGTATGTGATAGAACTGTGCTCTGTCTACACACATGTGTATATGGAGAGAGAAAGAAAAACTTTTATTTTAAGGAACTGACTCTTAAAATTGTGGAGAAGCCAGCAAGTTCAAAATCTTTGGGGCAGACCAGCAGGGGCCAGGAGAAAGCACTTAACCCCCCAAAACAAGTGGGTGTGGTTGCTGTAAGGGACAGCAGATTCAAAGCTGTACTCAGAATAATCTGACTCAGAGACCTCTGTAGTTGGTCTAGACATGAAACAGTCCACTAAATTCTTAATTGATTCGTACAACTGGAAAAGTTCGAGGTCAAGTGAACAGAAGTGTAACTTGAATCATGAAAGCAAAAAATCTTGGCCTCTCAATTCCAGACTTGAGCCAGTTTTATGAACCTGGAACTCATTGAATTGAAGGTGGCCCAGGGAAAGACTGTGCTATTCATCTTTCTCCCAGGTTTCCCCCAGAGAGACCAACTGTCTCAACCCTGGTGACTGTGTTGGAGGGAAAAGACATAATCAGAGTTGCCAGGGGTTACTAGACTCTGGCTCTGAACTGACTCCCCAAATCACTGTGGTCTACCACTCAGAGTAGAGGATTATGGAGGTCAGGTGATCAGTGAAGTTTCAGCTCAATTTCACTCTCATTGGATCCAGTGGGTCCCCAAAACCACCCTGGGATTATACCCCAGGCCCAGAATGCATAATTGGAATAAGTGAACTCAGCCACCGGCAGCATCTTTACATTGACTCAAATGATAAAAGTATTTTTAGCCTCTGCTTTCATAGAATTGTACAGAAATGTACATGTCAATATAGAAAAGTTTCATATTTGATATACTAACACTAATTATGAAAATAACCTCCATAAACTAAAACAGGTGTCCTGAAAGTATCACCCTTTAGCCTGTCGCTCATGCATGGTTACAGTCCGTCCTGTATTAGGTCATAAAGTGCTGTTAAGAGGCCTTGTCTTGCTCCAACCATTTGCTTTTAAATGTTGCAGGCAAAGTGATGAACATCTGTTTCTTATTTCCTTACACTAGAGAAATATGTGTCTTTCTCCAATCTGAACTTTTCTACCCTCCGGATCTTTAAAGTCTTTCCATTCTAACATGCTAATCCTTAAGAAGAAAAAAATAAATTGAGATGTGTACATAAGAGTTTTAAATTTAAATATAGAACTGAAGGCAGCCATAGTTTGAAGAAACACTTTTTAAAAATTAGATTGTAATAAGGCATTCAATCCCCTAAAAGGTTATAGTTTTCTTAGCAAACCAATTTAGAAGTCATTGTATTCCTTTTATTCCACTTTCTTCTTACATTTGGACTGCAAATGTTACACTGATTCTGTTTCTTCTATTGAGACTCATAGTTATATTGATTAAAAAGTTTCCTCAGGGGCCTCCCCGGTGGCGCAGCGGTTGAGCGTTGGGTTGCGAAGCTGCCCGCGGCCTCTGCGGCGCCGGTTCGATCCCCGGCTGCTCCCCGGCCACCAGAGGAGGGTCCCACATGGCGCGCAGACCTCTCCTGCCGCCCGCTGCTCCCCTCAGCAGTGTACTTCGGTCCTTCTGCCTGCTCTGCTCCTCACTCTGGCTCTGGTGAATTCTCTCACCCTCCCGCACTTCTGACTGTACCCAGTGCATGTATAAAACAAAAAACAAACAAATAAATAAAACATGCCTCTATAAAAAAAAAAAAAGTTTCCTCAATATGTGTGATTTTGTGCTTCACACTTGTACATTTAAAATCCTGTCTCTATCTTTATCCTTCCCTCAGAAGAGTTCATGTACTTTCTTCCATGATATATAACAAGAAAAAGATGTTCTGAGGATAAGTCCATCTATATTATGACATTGAGATGAGAATTTTCCAGTTTAACCTTTTAAAAACATTCTCATCCTTGAAACAGACATTCTGGTCACATGTTGTAAGCACCAAACCCACTCCCAGATGATCCGATAAAAGAAAATGCATTGGCCCATATATTTCACCACAGGCAAGATTTGAAAGGGCAGAATAACTTGGGTCTCCTTCATCTGGCCCAGTGCTCATTTTCACTGGAGGATCTTAAAGCGAGTTTGTCTCTGCTTTGAATTCCTTAGAGCATCTCCCAACCTTTCCCTAATATTGCATCCTAAGGAATCTTGGCAGACATTTTTCGCCCACTCCTCACCATGAAAGTTTAATACCACAGATATATTGTATATGTTTCTGTAGATCTGTGCTTTATATGCATAAAAGATTTTTTCATTTCCTCCTCCCAAGAACCAAGTTTTGCCCTACCAAGTGTTATTTTGACCCTTTTGTAAATGCTTACCTTAGAGAAAGTTTGCTAGTATATGCCTTAAAATGTGACACAAACCTCTTTTGCAGGGGACGTACCTTAGGAGATTTATGATAGGAAGTTGCTTAATTTGTTCCTTACAGAAACTTTCTGGAAGTCATTTATCTGTCTTCCTCAACTGTTTGGAAATCAGCACCACCTACAGTTAATCAAGATGTCCCAAAGCCTTTTTACTTGGGCAGCCACTTGAGCCTCCTTATTCATAGACATAGTGCTAATGTATTGATTTTTCTTCCCAGCTCAGAGCATATTAGAAACATTATAGAGTGATTATGTGCTTAGACTGCCCTATCCTGGCACAGAGACAGATACAAGAAGCAATAGCTGACAGAAGGAAGAGGAAAGAACTAAAAAGCAGAGGCATTTGAGGCGTTTATTGTAGTTCAGAAGCAGAGAAGCCCAAGAATCCAGAATCTTTGAAAAGAACACTCACTATATTGTATCACAGTATAATCTTAATAACTTAAGGGGCTCTTCTGGCAGCTCTCAGCAAACTTTGAGCACCAGCTGAGTCCCAGAGACTGTGGGGTAAAAGGATGAGCAGGATAGAGACTGTTCTCTTAGGGTTTTCTTCAAGACTTGTTTCATATTTTTTAATGGAAAATATTGTAAAGATGAGTCTGGTACATAAGGGAGTGATTCAGTTAACTGGGACATGAACCTGTGGACCCAGTCCTTGCACATGAATACTCAGTAATAAGTACATTACCAAATGCAAGACATGTACAGCTTTATAATACCTGCCTTTTAAGGAAAATTGCATCTTACTGGGTTAGATGACTATCAGATATCATTCACTCTGGAATTTCTTTGTCATTTACTTGTTCATTCCATTTATCTCAGACCACAAACTTATCAAATACCAGTGCCATATTTTTCTCATCCTACAAAGCTTTCCTGGAGAAAAGGGGAACAGTTCACCTGTTCCCATTACTTCTGTAAGCACAAGAACATACCTTTTATTCAGCAACAGTTGGAGTTTGCAGTGGAAGTTCTCATTTATTCATTTGCTTTTTCAGATTTGTGGGACACCAAGCTATTGAAAGCCCAATTGTTTTTCTTGCCCTTTCAGCCTTCATAGTGCCATGCAGATATAAACATAATTTGATGATAACAATATGCCATTTACTATTTGTATGGTTAAAAAAAGAAAGAAAGGAAAAATTTCCTCTCTTCCCTCTCTTTTCATTAAGATCTTTTTTCAGCTAGAATGTATTTTAACCTTTAATGTCTTCCTCCATTTTTGTTCTGCATTTCTAACTTGGTTCATTTATAGGTTGTAAAAAATAGTAGTTTGTGGTTTGTGCCAGAAATTTTTACCTGGAACTAAAGTGGATAATAAAGAATTCATCCTGTTAACTCTCATTAGGCAACCAAGAGTTCACTGTGGTTTTATTTATGGGGAGAAGCAGAAATTTGAAATGGGGTAAAATGCTTTCCACGTCTTAATTGGTTCCAGAGTGAAGTTTCTGGACTTCATTCCACATATCCACCATCTGTGTTTAGTGCCTTTCTAGAACATACGTTTAGGTTTCTAATGACCATCTTTCCAAGTGGTACAAGATAATATCAAGATTTCCATGCTTAAACAGGATTTTGCTTATTCTGTAATAAATATCTTGTAAAGCTATTTCTCAAATACTGATTTATTTAACCAGGTAAAGGCTGTGTGTCTTCTGTTGTACATTATTGTCCTGATTTCATAGATTATGCTACAGTGAACAAAACCTAGTGCATTAGTGTCACACAAGAGTAACTAGGAAATGTTAAGATTTTTAATAAACCATTCTCCTGCTATGTGATCTTCCCCTTTTTAAGAACTTAAACTGATGGATGAGTAGGAACCATCTTAGACATATGTGGCACATTCCATCAAAAGGTAAAAAGATTTAATACCCGTGCATTCCTGAGAGGTTGAATTATGACGGTGCATATTTCTAGGATAAGTAGAAGGTGATAACCACTAACAAACTTTTTTTTCCCATTACCAAGGGGTTACACTGGTCGTTGATGTTAATCAATGTTTGGAGAATGAAAGAAGAAGTGATGTTTTGTCTGCTTTGAAATCTCAGGCTCTTAATGAAAATAATATAATCCCTGAATGTGCTGACAGTTACTATGATGCTCTTGTGAAGGCAAAAGAGTGCAAATCTGAAAATGGTAAGCTTTTTCATCATTTAGTATAAATTATTTTGAGCATGATGATTACTGTGGTGGTGTATTTTATTGATGTTACGACAAATGTTACTTTCAAATGAACATTTTTGAAATGTATTTTAAAGGAAATTTTGTAGATGTTTCTTTATTAATTTTTGAAAACTGTTATTAACTTAGCAATGCATAGGTAGCACCAAAGAATTGGGAAAATAGAATATTTAGGAAGATGTGCTTTATATAAGTCTGACTGATTCATTCCTTCAGTGATAACAAACTAATTTTTACACTAATATTTCTCTCAATTTCTTTTGAGGCACTTACATGTTTGCACAATACAAGTAGGGGTAAAGGGAAATTTTGAAAATGAGAACAAAGTGTGCAATGAGTTGGCCCCCAAAAGATTAGAGCTACACCTTGACAAATAGTTATGCCTATTCACTACAATGACAGATCATAAAATGTTAGTTCTGAAAAGTTTCTTTGATATAAGTTTAATACTAATTTTTCAGATTTAGAAACTCCAATTTATAAGGCTTTGGACAAAGAGAGAAAATGAAAAACCCAAGGAGATTAATTTTTGTCAGGGATAATCCATCATTCCTTTAGTAGATTTTTATTGAGCACTTGTTATGTTTTAGTGTTAAGAATCAAGGTGTTGGGCCTCCCTGGTGGCGCAAGGGGTTAAGACACAACCTATGAAGCCGTCCACAGCCACTGCAGCACAAGTTTGGTCCCCAGCCAGGGAGCAACCCACATGGTGCGGCAGACTTCTCCTGTCTCGCCCACTGCTCCCATCAGCAGTGTATTTATTGTCAGTCTGCCTGTTCTGTTCCCCATTCTGCCTATGGTGAATCCTCTCACCTTCCACACCTCTGGCCTGTACCCCAGTTCTTGTATACATAAATAAATAAATCTTTTTAAAAATAAAAAGAATCAAGGTGTTTCCCCATTCCCAGACTGGTGTTTATGTGCACCACATCATAGGTCATACAGTTTATAGTTCCTTAAACTATATAGATATGAAACTTACAAAAAGGATATTTTAGTGCAACTGAAAGTGTATACTTTACTTTTAAGTTTATCTAATGCTTTTCATACTTGGAGATTCCACCCTCTAGCACAAAAAACTTCCTGTCAGTGAAATGTGAGAGGGGCTATCGGCCATTCTTATTTGGCATCTGATCACTCTTGAGCTCTTCTCTGCTGCTTTCACATCTGTCTCTTCCTCAGGACTTACTGTAGTGCCCCTATTTCATCCTTCCTGGAGAAGGAATTGTATAACTATATTAAGGCAGTGATTGAGTTCCTAGGGATGAATCATCATAATTCCAAGTCCATTCTGGCAAAACTTAATCTTCTTTCTCCTAAAATTGCTACCTACTCTACCCATGCACCATGTTTTGATGAACGGTGTCAAGGTGTCCCCTCTGCCTCCTAAGACAGGGGTCAGCAAGCTTTCTCTATAAAGGACCAGAGAGCAAATTTTTTTTTAAAGATTTATTTATTCATGCATACTAGAATCAGGGTAACAGGCCAGATGTGCAGGAGGGTAAGAGGATTCACAGAGACAGAGCAGGGAACAGAACAGGCAGATTGACTGAAATACACTGCTGAGGGGAGCAGCGGGAGAGACAGGAGAGATCTGCCATGCCATGTGGGAATCTCACCATTCGGCCTGTATCGAATTCATGCTGCAGAGGCTGCAGACAGTTTCACAGTGCTGCACTCAACTGCCTGCACCACCGTGGGCTATCACTTTCTGTCACCACTACTCAACCACCATTGCAATGTGAAAGCCACCATAGACCACTGGAATTTGTTAGTGATGTGTTGAATCTGTAGAACAATTTGAAGAGTTCTACCATCTTAACAATATTAAGTTTTCCAATTCATGTATATGGGATGTATTTGTCTGTAGAGTTGAGTCTCCTGGGCTTTGTTTAATGCAGGTCATCAAACCCCCCACTAATTAATGGGTGACTTTCCTTGTAGAATGTCTCTTATCTGAGAAGTTGCTGAAGGACTATCTGAGAAAAGAAGATCTTTGCTCATTGATCTCTGTCTAGTTACAGATCTCATTGCATCTACCTGGGGCATACAGTCCTTGTTAGTTTTTCCTTCTGTTTGGCCAGTTTTGACTCCTGTCATCCTCATAAAAAAATGTGGGCTCCAGAGACTATGTCTCTTTTCCTTCACCTTTGTCTTAGCATGTAGCGGCCATTGAACATACTCATTAGTATATTTTACATATTTTTTTAAAAAAAAAGCACTTTAAAGTTTTAGTATTCATCTCTAGAGTATAACAAACTTTTTTTTTTGCTAGTGACTTCTGAAGGTTCATGGCTCAAATTCAACCTGAAGGAGAAATATCCATTCTATTACAACATCGACTCGAAAGAGAGCTCCTGGGTGACCCCTGACCCTTACCTGGCTAAAGAATCATGGCTGATGCCAAAAGAAATTGAGGTAGGACACTGATGTTTAATGGAAAGCAGTGTTGTATGAAAATAAGTGTGATCGCATTTCTGTTTTTGAATCATAAATGTGTTGGAAGAAACACATTTACTTGAAGGCTAGATGTACAGTGAAGTTTTCATAACTGTAGTTAGATGCTGCTACATAATTACCATTAGATTTTTTTTCCAAAGTAGCATAATAACACCAAACAGCAGAGAGAAGAAAGTATTTGCATCTTATTTGGGATGGTAGATTATCCTAAGTAATCAATCTTCAGATTTTCCTTAACAGAAAGCTCATTTGATGAAAATCCCTTTGTTGTCCATATTCAAAATGTAATATTTCTTTCCTCCCTTCCCAGCAGAATTAATGTGATACTTTTCAAACCAAGTGTCATTTTTTTCTACAAAGTGCGGAAAGGGCCTCCATCGCCAGAATGGTTTTAGGCATAAAGGACACAGGCAAAAACTAGGACATTAAACTGAAATGTTTGCCTCTTCTAAGGTGGTGGAAATTAACACGTTTTCATTGTGTAGCTTGGGATGTACCTGTGCTCCAATATAAGTGCAAACAGCACAGCTAAGTGTATTTTATACAAATCTTTAGATTAGCCATCATCTTACAATAAATGATATGTCTATATAATGTACTAATAAGACTTACTCATGATATAGTGAATCAACATTTTTCTTAACTACTAAAGACCCCTTTTAATTAATTCTTGACTCATGTATGAAAGCTTTGCTGTAACAGATTTTTCTGATCAGAAGTAATTTATCACCCTCTACCCCCTTTTAGCCAAAGATCTATTTTAATAATACTTATCTGAGCTTGCTGTTAGGAGTGGTGGTTTAGTTAATATATCTAGCAGATTGTGGGCTGTGGGGAAAAAAACTCATTCAGAAGAATCCATATTTTGAATCTCTTGTTTAAATACTTTACCTCACTTGTACAAAACTAGTCTAAGTTCCAAGAGCACCTGCAATTTCCCCCTGCGTGTCTTATCCTTTTTTGCCACTAATTCCTTCCCCCAATTGGGTAACTTCTATATGTACAGGAATACACCAGTGAGTATTTACAAAGAAAGATACAAAGCATCTTAAAAGTAAAGGAGAATCTGGCCAAGAGCCCTTTTAAATTTCAGTTCCAGGTCACTTCATTTCGTGTTTTAGTTCTCCCTCCCTAATAAAAAGAACTAGAGAGGAGGTTTTCAATACAATAACATCTCTGTGATCCTGGCTTTTATAGATCTGAATATTTTCTTACAATATGGAAATAAGGAACTAGTGGATTGGTACATATTTCCTAAAATGAAAGGGGACTTAGCTGTCAACAGGGGGGCAAAGCAGATATTGCCAGAATAGCCTTCTTTGTAAACCATCTAGTAAAGTGGTGGTTCTATTTGTGTGAGGTTACTGGGGGCCATGAAGAAACAGGAAGGAATTAGTTCAAAGGAATGTGAAATTAGAGTTAGCCCTTGTAACAAGAAGCCTGATGAAATTTATGACTGAAAGTAATCTTTCTTAACTGGTTTGTCCACAAATAACTTGGAGAATGTATACCATGGCAAATAAGCTTTTCTGAAACTTATAAACATAGCCAAGAACCCCTCGTATAGTTTCACTTTCCAAAGCACTGGTCCATCAGTTTGATCCCTAAATAATCCTTTGCGTGGAGGTAGAAAAAATATTATACCCTCCCTTTTTCTAGATGAGGAGTAAACCGAGGCACACAGTCTTTGAAGCAGCTTGTGCTAATAGACTTCATCAGTGAACAGAGACTTATGTCCAGTGCTCCCAATTTCAAGTCTAGTACTTTTCCCACTGCTCCACTGTTGGTATTGTTTGTGGCTCAGCTCCCAGTATCTTGGAGGGACTTCATCATGTGCCCATCACTCTAGTTTTAATAACACAGACAATGACTTAATCTAACACAAAAAAATAGGTCAAAAGTGAGCAATGCTTCTCAGGGGCAAATTATCATGAAGGAAAGTCCACCAGGAGGGCTTTGGACTTGAGACCAAAAGTTGGTGAAAAAAGATGAAAATTGCTGTTTGATCCGGGCATTGCAATACATTTAAAGAGAAAATACTAATAATAATTGTATTCTATTAAAAATAAAAAGATCTTGCAGAAGTGCCCAAAGTCAATAACATCCAGTGTGGCAGTATTATGGACAGAATCAGCAGTACCGTGTTTACTAAAATGCAGAGAAAAACCTGTGGCCTGGCGCTGACAATGCCAACAAAATCCTGAATGGCAAGAAGATAGTGAAGAAAGTAATTTATTAGCTGATATCAAATGCCCAAAGTTCCCACAATTTATAGGAAAACAGCTTTGTAGCAATGGATTATTAGTGCATATTTATTGAAGTATGAAATGACGGACAATATTTTTAAAAAGTGCATACTATAATTGGAAAGATGGATGACACTGTGAAGAAGCAGCATCAAAGCCAAAAACTGCGTATATGGCATCCAGTGATGCCCTAGATATGACATTTTATATTGAGCAATTGAACATCCAATTTCAGGATTATTAAAAAGTAGACGAGGGCCTCCCTGGTGGCGCAGGAGGTTGAGCGCAGCGCTGTGAAGCTGTCCACAGCCTCTGCAGTGCCAGTTCGATCCCCGCCGGCCTCAGAGCAACCCACATGGCGAGCAGACCCCTCCTGTCTCGCCCACTGCTCCCCTCAGCAGTGTTTTTCATCAGTCTGCCTGTTCTGTTCCCCGCTCTGTCTCTGGTGAATCCTCTCACCCTCCCATGCATCTGGACTATATCCCAGCTCTTGTATAAATAAAATCTTTAAAAATAAATAAAATAAAAAGTAGGTGATCTGTAGTGTTTTATATATATATATATATATATATATATTCACATACATATATAAATTTCTTCAAGACAATCAAATTACTTATTTTGTCCAGTGAACAAAAACGCATCTTCTCTTAAAGGTATTTATGCATCTTTTATATGATTTCACTTTTAAACGTTTGACTAACCAACAGTTGATTCCATTCACACTGGATAAGAGGCATCAGCCATGGAAGTCAACTCAGTCTTTGCTTGCATCTCCCAAAGAACACAAAAGTAAACCCAGTTCATAATTCACATAGACTTTTCATAATCCCCTTTCTTCCTTTTATTCTCATCTACCTGGGTTTCCCCTAATGCCCATGGTATGGCTTGTCTTTCTTCTCCCATTCCCTTTCGTCTATCCCCAGAATTTCATTTTTCCCTTAAATTTGTTTTGAGTTTTCCCCCAACTCATTGCAGGGGTCTTCCCACTCTGCCTGGGAAGAGAACCCTAGGATTTCCTAAGCACTGCATTCTCTTCCTCAGCAGACCAAGGGCAATGAGTATTCATCCTGTAATCATCCTTGTCCCTGTTACATTCTGCACCTCAGGCCTCACACCTGGTCCTTGCCAGCTTCTTCTGTCCATCTCTACCTCCAAATACTGAGATCATTCAGCCACATTCTTATACCAGCTCAGCACAGAGTTCAGAGGATTCCAGAACCATGTCATTAGAAAGAAGCTAAGCTAGTTCATTCTTCAGCTGTGATCAAATCTCTCTTTAAACCAAGCCAGAAAGAGCTATCATCATACCATGTCCTAAATGATAAAGTTTCCAGAAACTATTCTATATGCTCCTTTCACCTGATGTGTGAAATGTAATCATAAGAAATATCTCTTGCCAGGACATTATTGAGGAAAGAACAGTGGATTACATCCGTCAGAATTTGTGGTCTGCTTCTGAAGATATGCTTCTTCGCTTTCAAGCCACAAGCTTTGGACCCCGTCTCTGGGAAGAGTTTGAAGCTAGGAAATCATTTTTGTATGATCAAGAAGAGCATGTGATCAAAATACAGGTATGTGAATCACCTACCACAAGTTACAGCACACAGTCATTTTCCCTGAAAAAAAAATTTTTTGTGATAAGAGGACGCCAACTGCCAGCATTGTCATAAAAAGATCTCACTGCAGACTTTTCGTAATCAGTGCCCACCAGTCTTCTTTATTAAGGCTCTGAGATGGGCAGGCTGTGGATGATCTTTTCTTCAGGGTGTGAAGGTCCAGCTACCTCCAGCCAAGTCGGAGCCAGAGGGACACCGCTGATCAGAGTGAAATCCTGTTTCTTTAAAAAGCTGAATCTCTTGGTGTCATATACTCTCTGACTCCAGTGCTTTGTGAGTTGGTTTTTATTGGTCAGTTGATATTGAGTGGCCTCTGAGTTTCTATGCTCTCCCAGCCTGAAAGAACAGAAGAGCTAATGAAATCAATTCAGCATCTCCAAGACTATCCATCATTCTTCAGTTAGGCCTGTGAAAGAAATCTTCATTCCCAACATTTTTGTTGAGTTATTCTTAAATTTGAATGACTTGCCAGAACTTTCTGGTTCACAGGAGGGGAACTTGCCAGATTGAGATGTTTTTCTTCTGTATTCCCTAGCACCCCCTTCCCACCACCATGTTGGCTTCCAAAAAGTTGTAGGTGTGTCCTCTTTTTCACATCCAAAGCGATACTGTTGTTGATGGACAGAGTTTGATGATTTTGATTTTGGCCAATAACTGTGGAATTTCCTAAAAATTGAAAGTTTTTAAGTTGAAGGGTTTCGGTTTTTGTTTACTGGTTTTTTTGTGATTACTGGAGTACTTGTCTGCTTCCCCACTATTGCTGTTCAGGGTTAAAAACAAGTTTTTAATATTCTTATGTCTTGTGTCTTACTCAAGTATTTGGGTTTTTTCACAGCTTAAGATGTTAGAAGGCAGAAATGATAATTTTTTAAGGAAATTTCTGCTTTAAAGCTGACACTTAAAGAAGTTTTTGAGTAAACCATTAAGTTTTTCAGTTTATTCCTTCCTTAAACAAATGGTAGGCAAAATACATAAAAAGTGAAAATGCTTAAAAATAAAATCATCTGCAATGATGCTAAGACTCTAATTTTGTACAAAATTCAAAATGTCAGCCTATATGACATGGTTTGGACCACATCTAAGCTCCCCAGTCTCAGACACAGACTAGCGTTGAAGCTGGAAGAAATTTTGGAGATCTCACTGGTATAAATTCCATCTGATATTATGACCCAGAGCTGAAGTCATGACAGGGCTGAGGGAGGGACAGGGGCCTGTTTCTGCCACCCCTCCAGAGAATAAAAGGAGCCACCACTCTCTATGAAGTCGCCCCACCAGGCCTTTTCACTAACAATTTTCTAACAAGAAGGATATGAGGTCCACGGGCAAGCAGCAGACTGGAGGTGACTATGTAATCCATAGACACCTGCTGACCCACAAAACCAAATGACCGTGAGACCAAGGGTGTCATGCTAACCTCATTTCTTGCCAAAGTGGCAAAAATTGGGGGGATGATCTGCAATAAGAAGACTTCCCCCCATGGAACAGTTCAGCCTGCCTAGCAAACCAAACCAACTCCAGACACAGGAGTCTTTATAAAGTCAGAGAAAAAACTTCCAGGCAAAGGCCAACCACCACCTTCCACTCTCAGTCTCCTCCCAAGGAACTGAGCAGTGGTACAGAGCATACATGTGATCAGTGGCCAGTCCTCTGTCTCAAGTGCTTATGGGACAAATCAGAAGGGCCCAAGCAAACATGGAGGTAGGTCAGGGAGAATCTGTGTGGCCATGTTTTTGACCAGTAAGAAGGCCCTGATAAAATTATCTACATATAAGAATGAATGAGACACAAAAAATCCAAACAGATAAGAAAAAGATGTATCAACAAAAGAAAAATGAGTATAAGTTGTAAAATATCATAACTGTAGTAAACATCTAAAGATACTTGGATTCCAGGAGATGGAAGTAATTTTTGTACTTAGAATTCTTTATGCTTTCAAGAAATTTAGTAAGACATGGACTTCATGAAACAAGATGACACAGTGCAGTGAAAAGATAACTGATAGTCAAAGAAGGGAAGTAATGACATCATAGGATATAAATGAACTTAAAACTACTGAATGTAGAGCAGACACTGACAATAGTTGAAATACACAGAAAATGAGAAAAATCAAGCAAAAAGCTGAGGAAAAGAGTGGAAGATTAAGTACACTTTCTCATATGTAAATGATACTACCCATTTCGTTTACAGAGGATTAAAAGGGATAATTCACGTAACTGAATTTTCCCAGTACCCACAGCTTTTAGGTATTCAGTAGGTCTTAGAAATGATGAAGTATACAGATGGTGACTCAGAAGACAGAGAACAGGGATCCAACATTGAGGTGGGTTGATATGGCACAGGGAAAGATCAGAAAAGCTAACACTGAAGGGAAAAATAGCTACAGGATTTGTTTGCCTAAACTAAAGAAAGCTGTAATTCCATCTTTAGGGTAAAAGTGTAATAATAACAAATGCTAAAACAACCATGGCACTTACTAAGTTAAATATTAAGCTTCAGGTCAGAAAATGCCACAGATCGAGACAAAGAAAACAAGCTTCTTATTTTTTTTTTTTTTTTTACTTTGTGCAAATACTTGCAATTTTTTTTTTAATTTTTTTCATTAATCACTTTTTAACAATATTTGCTTTCCCTCACCCCCAGGTGTAATCCCCATAGAATTTCCTTCACCAATGAGCCCGTGCACCATCACCATGAAGCAACATTAGATTACCAGCAGCAGTAGCAGAGGCTGCAGGCTGGGAGGAAGGGGTGTGCTCACAGGACAGTCATTTTTCACATTGTCCTAATGTGACTTACACTGTACATGGTGAGGTTTTAAGCTGAAAGGGAAAAGTAATCAATGTTTAGGGCTTTCTTGGCCACAGAAGAATTTGTGCCTCACAAGTTCAGAGTTGGGAATTTGAATATTACTGTCCTGGGTGTCCAATTCTCAAGTGAAGCAACCAAATTTTAGCATCAGATTGTCTAGAGACTTAGTTATTATGATAAAATAGGAAATAAACTCTGTGGTCTAAAGATTTTGAAAATTTGTTACAGATGCACTACACAGACAATATATTTATGGTAACAAAAACCAAAATACAAGGAGGGCTATTAGAGGTTTTCCCACCAGTTCTCATAGCAGAAAAGCAAACTGATATTTTTGTAAATGATTTCTTTCTTTAAAAAAAAACTGCTTCTAAATGATTTCATGGTTTCAAATTTTGACTCCTTTTGCATTTTTATCAATAGCTCCTTCTTCCCAACTTTCAACCCATAATTCCTTCTCATAAACAGTCTCCAATTAGAAAAATCTATAATTGTGGCTTGGCACAAGAGTACTCTTAGAGCAGAATTAAGAAAGCCAGTTCTGTGGGAACTAAAACTTACAAACTGAAAATAAGAATGTAAAATAAAAGAAGGTGCATGTAATTTTCCTCTTCTATAGACCAGAAACCCAGCCAAGTTGTCTTGGTTTGGGAAAGTAAGAATAAAGCATTATAAATATAGAAGGATTCCAGGAAAAAAAATACATAAATCAATAAAGAGATGGAACAGAAAACTAAATCTCAAGGAAAATACCATTGGTGGTATTGAATTCCTAATACATTAAAAAATGATACAGATGGGGCCTCCCCTGGTGGTGCAGCGGTTGAGCGCTGGGCTGTGAAGCTGCCCGCAGCCTCTGCAGTGCCAGTTCAATCCCCGGCCGCCCCGTGAGGGTCCCACATGGCGCGACAGACCTCTCCTGCCGTGCCCGCTGCTCCCCTCAGCAGTGTGTTTAGACAGTCTGCCTGTTCTATTCCCTGCTCTGGCTCCGGTGAATTCCCTCGCCCTCCCACACTTCTGACTGTACCCAGTGCTTGTATAAATAAATAAATAAATCTTTTTTTAAAAAATTGGTACAAAATGGGCAAGTGGATTCCTTCCACAAAAGCACAAATGCTTCAATATTATATCTTCTCTTACTATGACAGATTCCTTGTCCAGAACGTTTTCCAGTGTTTGTGAATCTGAGCTAATAGATGTTAGTAGTGTTCCTGGAATTTAGATAATTCCTGGACAACAGAGTGATTACTTGAACCAATCCCAGTATCTTGTTGGCTTTTCAGTTTGGATCGAGGAATGGGATGTGTGATAAATATTTGCACATTTGTACTTCTGTGAGGTAAAAGAGAAGTACCCATGAAAATAAATGAACCACCCCCGAGACCAGCTTAATAAATGTGACTTGTGAGATGGCTGTGGAATCCAGTGACCCACAATTAGGGTCACTTCCCTGATTCTACAGTGCTATTGGGCCACTTATATGAACAATTATTGGTGACATCAGAGAACAGTTTCTCTACCTCATCTCGTCCCAAAAATGTCCCACCTGCAAATGCCATGGTGCTATTTTCTAAAAGAATGATCAATTTTAAATCCTTTAATTTTGTTTCTGTCTTTATTATTCAAAATGTAGACCACATGAATCAGCATTGCCATTGCCTGGAAACATCACCCAGACCCACTTAGTCTTAATCTGCATTTTAAAAAGTTCCCTGATGATTTTCTATACGCATCAAAGTTTGAGAAGTGCTGTTAAGCTCCCTCCTGTTGTAAACCCTCAGATAGTGTACTGTCCTGTATAATTTATTTTTGCTATATTAGCCTGAAAGAGGAAAACCACGTGCCCATTTCAATAACTAATTCAATGGTATGTGATAAGGTTCTTAACCCATAATTGTCATGTCTAGGGAAATCTGTGGCAAGTACTTGATTGAACATTTATATTTTATCCTGACTGCTTTGTTTGGAATAGCTACCAAAAAAGATATTATTTTTAAAGGGATAATAAAATTTCACATACTTTTTCATAAAAAGAATGAAAGAAGTAGATTCATATGCATGTTTGTAAGCATGAACTATAGAAATATGTGCAGGCATGAAAAGAAATTTATGAAAATAATTTAATGTTTGTATTTGTCCTTTTAAAATTAGGAATGTGTATTTCATTTCTAATATGTAAAACAAAATAAAGAATCAGGAAAAGTTGTGTTTCAGTAAAAAAATACTCGTAAATGAATTGGAATAAGCATAATACTTATGCACTCAGTCCTAAAGATATCAGTTTGTATTCTGTTTTTGTAAATATTTCCTATAGAGATTTTCTCTAATGGTGATAATATAGTAACACTGTATTGGTGAAGCATCATTAAACTTGATGTGGAAATACATAAAATAATGCATGCTCCATCATAGCACTGCTATTTTCAAGGAGCTATAGTCACAAATTCATAGAACATCTTCCTGCTTGGTCTGGAGCACAGGGGCCACTTATTGGAGTAATGATGTACTTTGGTCACTATTTGGAAGCATCTTAAATTGTTAATAAATGATACCAGCACCCAGTTCGTCTGTGTGTTTCAGGGCAATTCCGTTTTATTATTACTTCTGCTTTGGAGCAGAAAAAATGGGCTACTACATGATAACTCTGCTTTTCTTTGCACAAAGCAAGCATCAACTGTGAGCCGGTTTGCTCTCCTCACTTTAATGTCCACCCCCAAAGACAATGTCCAGATGAGATTTGGAAGGAGGTCCCTGAAAACACTCCAGCTCAGTGTCTCTTGAGAGCCCCTCTGTTCTCATGCGTTCTAAAATAAACTATGGGGAACATTGCACATAATGACTTCTGCAACTCACTATTTTCCACAGTCTTTTTGGAGGAGACATCAACAACAGAAAGCATATCTTGAAAGGCAGAAAGTGTTCCATGATAACGTTCCTTCTATTGTGAAGGTAAATATCCTTTCTTACCTTATCAAATGTTTCCCTTCATTTTGTTTTGCTTCTGGAAGATAGACTATAGAAAGAGTTTATATGAGCTTTGAAATCAGAAGGAAGATTCATACTCCTTTTACCATAGCCACCAATATTTAGAATGCTTACACATCACCTCCTGGCCTTTTGGTTAAGATCAAGTGTAGAATGCTCATACTTTTAACAATTTAGAACATTAATTGTAAGTCAAATGCAAAACCAGGGGCAAGTGGAAGTAGAGCTGAGTCAGGACCTGGGTAGTGAGCCAATGCAACCCAAACTGATTACTCTAAGGTTGGAGAAAAGATACTGGCCACTGTCTCTGAATTAAAAATCAAAGGATTATATAGAAATGAACTTGGATTCAACTTGGAAATCCAGATAAGAGTCAGGACAAGAGAGAGACTGAAATCAAATGATTTCAGATTGTTTAAAAGACCTTTGGAACTGTGAAAATATTAGAGAGTATGTGGTCTAGATCCAATTGTGCATTAGCCCCTTACTGAAATAATGTTCTGTGCTCACTGTGGAGCACTTGCCTGTTCTTTGAGAGAACCAATGGTCCCTCATGAGACCTTTTTAGAGTTTCATGTAAAGGCCTGAAAGATAGTGGATGCAACTAAAGGATCTTGGAAGAAACCCTGAACTTAATTTGATTCCCTGACTACTCATAATGGTCAGCAAATTGTCTTGCCCTTTTGACTTATTTATTGACATTAAAGCAAATAATCCAAACCTACATTACCTTCGCTACTCCCTCCTTCTGAGGCAATGAGATTAAAAGTAGCACATAAAATGTTTTTGAACCCCTGAAACAAGGTCTTTCTCAGTTCTTTCATTCGAACAGTGAAAGAAGAAGGAGATGAACATGGGCTTTAGATATTAGTTGGTGGTCTCACTTTTTTTATCAAATAAAATACCATTTTTAGAAATACAGCATAAGAAGGATATTTAAGGTGGTTTGGTAATTGTCTTGATTTCTCTAACTTATTTTTAGATTCAGACCTGGTTCCGGATGATACGAGCACGAAAGAATTATCTTTCACGACTACAGTATTTCCAAGATCATGTAAGAGACATGCATGTGAATTTTTTGTTCTGGCTGAGAATCAAACTAACGAATTCTTTATTGAAATGTTAGGCTAGAATGATTTTAGTTAAATGATGGTAATGAATAGTAGGAGTTAAAAATAGGTTTTAGAACCCAGTATGATAATATTTCAAAACTTGCTCTTTTTAATTCAGAACTTACGTTCTGAGTGAGACTTTTCCTGTCAGTACTGGGTAGGAAATGGGTGAGAGGAAATTAATGTGGTCTAGTCATGCCAAAGAAAAAGGATTCTGAAGAAGTATTTTCCCACTGTGTTTTTACGGTTTTTCTGTAACCAAATAATTTAAGTAGACGCTCACAAGGTAAATTTTTATCTTCTTAAAAAGTAGATATGTGAACATAGATGAGATTATCTGAGTTTGGTGCTAAAATTCTTTTCCCTTTCTAAAACTTTTTATTTAAATAGTCTTTGTACAGTTTTGTTTATAGTTTGTCTAATTTATCAAACACTTTTGTGAAAGAAAATGCAAAATTGAATGAGACACATGTAAACACTGTCCTTAAGAGAGTCCATTCTTAAATCCTGTGAGCTCTTAAATAGTTCTAAGTTCTAAATTGGGCAGTAGATGGAATGCTAGAAGGTTACAACTGGTCTTCATCTTTTGCAGAGAAATGAAATTATAAAAATACAGTCGCTGTTGAGAGCAAGCAAAGCTAGAGATGACTACAGGACACTGGGTAAGTGGAAAGTGGGAGTGTTCTGAAACAAATGGCAGCTTCCTTATAAACGAAGCAACAAGTTATTTCCATTTTAGTCACCTCAGAGGCTACTCCAAAACAGAGGCTGCCTACTGTGTCCAGCAGATTTTGATAGTCTCAGGCCCCAAGTTCAGAGGCCCCACAAAAGAACATAAGGTAACAGGAAATAGGGCTTCATGCTATAATGGATGGGATTAAATGGAATGGATACTTCTTCAAAAAAGAATGGAATTGGCATCAATGCTCATATTTTTGTATTACATTTGAGCTAGAGTCAGAAATCTAATCCAAAACAGTTAACCAAAATATAAGCTTACATTACAGCTGACTTACGATTTTCTCCTCATTTTAAGAATGAAACATGCTCATATAAGAGACTTTGAAACTATAAATAAAAAGGAAAAAAAGATACAGTCTCATCTCCCAGAGATGACACTAATGGAAAGTCCATTCAGAATTGATATAAATGCCCCTATTAATGTCTGAGGCTGGTCTTCTAGATTCTTAGTGCCCTCCCTTATTCCCTGCTGAAAGGACAAGGACCAAATTTCATTTTCTAAAATCATTTTATTTCTTCCTACTAGAACATTTATTCCACTTGTCATCACATAGATTCCTGTTTGTTCTTTGTTTTTCCCTTCATTGAATTTTTCTAATTCACTTTTCACCGAGTTTCTATTCCTTCCCAGTGGTCTTTTGGGCTAAAAGAACCAACTGTCTGCTTCCTGCAGCAAAAACACAAGTTTCTTATCTGACTCAACCACAGGCACTCAGAGCTCAAGTCATTCATGTTAACATTCTTTCCCAGATTCCTCATCAGTGAGGCATGGAGGGATAGAGCTATCTTCTTAGTGCCTGTGTCCTGGGAACAGTGTGAGCAAGGGCTGATAAATGGGTATTAGATAGTGAGAAAACAGTAAGGCTGGACATTATCAGTGGTGTGCATTTATTTATGTGATCAATTGGTTCCCTTGACCAGATTTTACATGAGGTATAATGATTCACTTCAGAGACCAAGTACATACAGTGCTATCTTTTTTTGTGGCAGTGTTTATTAAAAGACCTGGTTTCTTTTCTATTGATGATCATCCCAAGCATGTAAAATTCAAGTGTGCCTGTTCTTTTGCCTGCAGTTGGCTCTGAAAACCCACCATTATCAGTCATCCGCAAATTTGTACACCTGTTGGACCAAAGTGACTTGGATTTCCAGGAGGAGCTGGAGGTAGCACGACTACGGGAAGAAGTAGTGACCAAGATCAGAGCCAATCAACAGCTGGAGAAAGACCTGAACCTGATGGACATCAAGATCGGGCTCCTGGTTAAGAACAGGATCACACTAGAGGTCAGTGGGTTTTGGTGACTTTGGGCTCCCAGAAGAGAAAAGATGCACATGTGCTTGTCCACTGCACCTTCGCCCTGCTTATCAGCTCATTTGGAATCCAGAAGGACTTGTCCAAAGATCATTTGCCATTTTTCTTAAAAATTAGTGTTTCTCAAACCTGCAAAACTGTAGGAACCCTTCATAGGACGTATTTTGTAAAGCTTTTTACCATTCTGAAATGACATTTATATAAAATAAAACCTCACTTATCTTCATAAAAAGGCCTTTATATGAATATAAAAGAAATTAAAAAAGAGTAATTTATAATAATATATCTCAATATGAAAATACATGGACCCAATGCCATTAGATGTGATCAAGTTGCCAGAAGCTCAGGCCTCTTCACAGAATAACCACAGTTGAGAGGCATGGATGGGTGAGTAGAGGAACTGTTGGTGATTCATTTTCCAAAATGGAGAACAACGTCAATAAAGTTCAGAGTAAGCAAAGTGTGGTATCCCCCACCATAACACAGAATTGCAATCCTAGAAAATTCAATGTGTATTAAAATTTGGAGAGGAGATGTATATTGTACTTATAAGTAAAACAGGTTCTAGGGTCGAATAAGTACACATGGAGTTTTGAATTCCATGAATGATCAACAAGACATTAGAATCTAGCCATGCACATGTGGGATGGTTGTCACTCAGGACCACTCTACAAGCTACAGGAAAGCAGCACCGCAGTTCACCCTCCAGAGGCCAATGGTGCCTTCCAGTCATTAAGATGTGGATAAAACCCACCTCAGCATGTGCTAGTGCCCTTGTAATAGCCCCTGAATAAATCATGCTGTCGCTCTGTATCTGTTTGGAACCTGCCAATGTCAGAGCTCTCTAAAACCATGTAAAAAGTGTCACTTTTGCCCAAGAAATGGAGATTTTTAGGGGAATACTTTAAGTCCCTGTTCCTATGCCATATTAATTTTCAGAAAGCTGATAGGTCAAGGGGGGAAATTGACCTTCTAGAAGCTCTGAGAAGAATACCATGGTTAAAGGTGAGAAGCCAAATCCCAGTGACTGATTATGTGGCTCTGGAAAACTAGTTATCTTGAGAATGTGTTAGTTAAGTTGACATACGTGACTGCCCCCTCATCTCCAGCCCTCATGGAGACACCAGTGAAAGAGTTGAAGGGAAAATAGAGCCAATTTAAACTAAGAAATGATAATCTTTTCTAAATATGACAAAAGCTATGATTTAAATATTCTGCATTTAATTCTACTTTCAGTATTTTACTCAAAAAAATACCAACAGTACTTTACTTTTTTTTTAAGGAAAATCATGTGTATTGTTTGTCACACAGGAGAACTTCTAAAGTTCAAATATGTTGCAGCAGGTCCTTCAGAGAATGCCTTTTATAACCTTAAACTTGTTTTACCCTATTCCCATAAAGTTGTAAACAGGAAATGACTTGCCTTTTGAAATACTCAGTTGCAAAACAGTAAATAGTAGAAACAATATATTGCTTGTGGAAATACAATCATGGCATATTTTCAGATACTTATGATAATCAAGATTTTTTTTAAAAAAATCTAATCAATAGCATTGTAAACAAAGTTAATTTGTCAGTTTATCTTTTCAAACACCAAATATTTATCAAACCCTTATTAGACATTGAACTAATAGTTATTAAATATATAGTCTTTAGTCTTTTTAATAGTAACATTTCCAGTCTGAGGAGAAGAATAGTACGGCTGAAGCTAAATGGTGGAAAAAGTGGGAAACAACCCAAACACAATGAACGGATGAGAGAATTAGTCAAAGCTGAGTGTTCTACAGCACAAAAAGTGTTCAAGGGCATGAGGGGGAGGGGAGGATAAGGTTCACAATCTAATGACTAATGGTGCCTAAATCTGTGTAATTTCATCTACTGTAAAATATATATACATATATAAGAAAAGCTGGGCAAAAGATTATGTGATTTTTTTTTTCTTTGGGTAGAATTAAACTTGACTTTTTATCTTAACAGTGATCATTTGTTAAGTGAGGAAGAAAAGATTTTCAGGAAAGTAGCTTAGTTCTTAAAGTAACCGTAGCTCCATCTGGTAGTCATGTGTCTTACAATTCTTTTAAAATGGGCATTCCTCCAGGAAACTTCAGTGGGTGTGGTATGTGTCTGTGTGAGAGTGTGTGTATGTGTTTATACCAAGAGAGAAATGAATCGTGTCTTATACTGTGTGTCTATGTTAACAATCTTTAGTAGATCCTGATCTAAAGGACCTACTCTTGTTCATGACTCTGAGTGTCAGGAAGAGTACAAAGGGCCTGAGGTGACCACTTCACAATGTTGTCAGCCACGTTTTCCAAGGAATACAATGGAGGGGGGAACCTAACTTTTGTTAAGTATTTAGAGGATTCTTTGCCCTTCCATATCTAATTTCCATAGTTTGAAATTTTTTCAAAAAGCGCTTTTATAAATTGAGAAGATAATTCACTCTTTTAAAGTATACAATTAAGTGGTATTTTGCCTAATCACAAAAGTGACTATCACTTCTAATTCTAGAATGTTTTCATCATCCCAGAAAGAAACCCCAAAGAAAATGTAATATGGTAACTCTATGTTTAACTTTTAAGAAATTGCCAAAATGTTTTTCTAAGTGACTCTACCATTTTACCTTCCTACCAGCGAGGTATGAAGTTTCCAATTTCGCCACATCATCAACAACATCCATTTTTGTCTTTCTTAGTGTGACCTTGCTAGTTAGAATGAAGTGGTATCGTGTAATTTTGATTTGCTCTCCCCTGATAACTGCTAATGTTGAGCATTTCTTCATGTGCTTATGGACCTTTATAGACCTTTGGGAAAATGTCTATTCAAATCCTTTGCCCGTTTTTTCAATTGAGTTATTTAGATGTATCTATAATGTATAAAGAACTCTTACAAGTCCCATATCCAGTATATGATTTACAAATATTTTCTGTCATTCTGTCAGCTTTTTACTTTATAATATCTTATGAAACATAAAGGTGTTCAATTTTATGAAGTCCAATCCACCTATTTTCTCTGTTGTTGTTAGTACTTTTGGTGTGGTGTCACATCTGAGAAAAAATTGTCCAGTCTTGGGTCACAAAGATTTATACCTACATTTTCTTTCAAGAAATTTACAGTTTCAGCTCTTACATTTAATTCCTTGATCCCGTTTGAGTTAATTTTTGTTTGTAACATGAGGGTAGGGCTCTCCATTCTTTCTTATAAATGTGAGGAGCCAGTTGTCCCACCATCATTTGTTAAAATTCTTATTTCCCAATTAAGATGTGTTGACACCTACATTATCTCTTAAGAGCAAATAAGTTCAACCCTGGAAAAACAAATATTACAAGGTCAAATTCGTTTTCAAAGTAGATTCCTCAATTTGCTTAGCATTCTTTATTCGTTTGTTGTCTCCTAAGGGAAATGGGAGGAGTGAGACTTTCCTTCAGTGTGTGTGTGATTCAGAGTGTATGAGAAGGGAGAATACCTGAGTAAAGGTAAAGAATACCTGAGTAAAAAGTTATAATTTTATTTAAAATTATTTTAAAATTATTTAAAAAGTTGTAATTTTATTTATTTAAAAAAAAACTTTTTTCCAGGACGTAATCTCACACAGAACAAAGCTGAATAAGAAAAAAGGTGGAGAAATGCAGATATTGAATAATACCGACAACCAGGGAATCAAGAGTTTGAGTAAAGAGAGAAGGAAAGCACTAGAAACATATCAGCAGCTGTTTTATCTTTTACAGGTGAGAACAAGTTATCTTTCACAATGAGTTTTGGATAAGTACTTGGTTCCGTGTTTGTGGTTTACAGTGAATCTTTCCCCAACACTGCAGCTAGTAGGACCGAGCACCTACTAAGTACCTTGTTTCCATGTTTAGATAAGAAAACAGAGACACTACCAGTAACTGGGATACAGGGTTCCTGGGATCCAGGCAGTTTGACTTCAGAGCCCATGTTCTCTATAACCATATTAACAGTTTTCTGCAGCAGTAGTATAACCCGAATTAACATAAACTGATGCTATCAACCATGAAAAACTTAAAGTAACTGTGAAAAACAGACCTTTACCAGGACCAGCCTGCCTTTCTTTTAGGGAAAGATCCATCTTTTAGGGAAACAGGTTATCTTTTTTTATTTCATTCCTTTCATAGCATTAAATAGTGAATAAATTTTTCCATTGCTTCCAGTATGGGTGAAAACTAATATGTTCAATTGGTCCTGCTTGGACTTTGGCAGACCAGTTATTTTTGACCATTGATTTGCCTCCTCCACCCTGCTCACATACAGTTTGTCTCAAAGGAAGCTGAATAAATAATGGGACAGATATAAACAAAGCCTCCCTTTCAACAGGAAAACCTTTTCCAAGAGGCAGGTCAGCCATTCTTTCTTGTGAGATTTGGGCCCCTGCATGCTGCTCCACTGCTGTTTGTGGGGATTCCCTCACCCCCTGGAGATGCCTGCCTCTTCATGAAGACATCACTGGCTTTAGGAGTACAGAAAACTTGTTACGCAAACCATGGAGTGACTAGCCCCACTGAGAGACAAGATTCTTATTCTGGTAGAGTTGAGAACCCTCTGCCGGGAATAATTAATTGGAGAAAATTTTCTTCAAAGGGTGCAGATTTCACTGATGGCCACTATGTCACTTCATAGACAAAGCATGTTAACAGAGAATTGTCCATGGAATCCACTGCTTAACCCCAGCTACCTTTTCAGAGAGAAAGGAGGCTTGTGTTAAACAAGGAAGGGTGTCTAAATTAGATGAGTAATCATCCACCAACTGGAAATTTAATCTTTAGCATTAATCAATTTTTTAAGATTTATTTTTATTTACTTAGGCATACAAGAACTGGGTGTAGGATGAGAGGATTCACCAGAGACAGAGTGGGGACCAGAACAGGTAGATCTACTGAAATACATTGCTGAGGGGAGCAGCAGGTGAGACTGAAGAGGTCTGCTGCTCCATGTGGATTAACTCCCTGGCCAGGGATCGAACTCATGTCTGGTTTGAAACTCATGGCTGGTGATAGCTTGATAGTGCTGAGACTTTAACTTCTGAGCCACCAGGGAGGCGCTAGCATTAATCATTTTGACTTCCATGAATTTCCAAGTATGTGTAGCTTCCTAGGAGTTTCCTAGTGTTGGATTTAGAATGGAGTCTGTGTTATAAGAAAGGGAAAATTTAGCTGTTGGCCTAAGATCTATGTTGTTTACCCTGTCATATAAGTGGAAGCTCATTAATAAAAGTGTGTGTGTGGTGGTTGGGGGTGGAGATGTTGGAAAGCACAGAAACATGTTTAAAATAATTCCACCAAATTTTAGCTCCCAAACAATCCAAAGCTCAACATCCCAGGGCACAGCCAAGTGAAGTGTTTCTTGAAATCATATTTTTTCCCCCACCCTTTCTTCTCTCTCCTAAATGCAAGATCAGTGAGGAAACTGTGGAAAAGCAAATTATCTGAATTATGCCCTGGCAAGAATTCTTAGCTAGAGCAGCAGGTTCGCTAGTATAGGTTTTGCTTTGGCTTTGTTTCTTCACCATAAACCTAAATTAAAAGTTTCTAGATCATGTGACAGGAATGATGTGTGGGCTTCTTTAACTGTAGAGTAAGTTTGCTTTCTCACAATCCCATATCCTTAGTGTGGAGAAAGAATCACAATAGAACTCCAGGACATTGTCCTGAGATGCTTAGTCATAAAGTTTCAGCAATCTTGAGCTTGAAAATAAATCTAAGTAGTAAAGTCAAATCAGAATTTGGATTTTCTTAAAAAATTTAGTCACGCTGTTTTATGTGTATTAGATGAATCCTAGTTGATGTGGATAGCAAAATTTTTTTTTTCTAAAGACAAAAAATCTGTATATTGCTCTGGGTAAGATGGCCATTTTAACTGTTAATTCTCCTAATTCATCAGCAGGGAATATCTTTCCATTTCTTTGTGTCTACTTCTATTTCTTTTAGCAATGTCTTCTAATTTTTATTGTATAAGTCCTACACCTTCTTTGTTAAGTTTCCTCTTAGTTATTTAATACTTTTGGATATCAGAGTATCAGCCACTCTCTCTTCTGTGTCTTTATACTAAATATTAATATGTGGATCAAAAAAGTTAACAATGTAAAGTGTACATAATAATATTGTATTATATTAATTATATCATGTACTATATAACATTTAAATCCTATCATAACTTTCCAGTACAGCTTTCTATAATATCATATTAATATAGTTGATCATTTTTGAAGTCTTACTATATGCCAGATACCCTTCTGTATACTTTATATGCATTAAGTCCTTGAAAAGCAAGGAACTGGGTACTTCTCTGATTTAATGATACATTAACATATAGTTTTGGGTATTTTGTTTTTCTTCTTCCTGCCTGCCTTTTAGACCAATCCTTCATACCTGGCTAAACTGATTTTCCAGATGCCACAGAATAAGTCAACTAAATTTATGGATACTGTTATTTTCACTCTATACAATTATGCTTCCAATCAGCGAGAAGAATATCTACTCCTCAAGCTTTTCAAAACTGCTCTGGAGGAAGAAATACTGTATGTATATATCTGTAAAAATACCAGTGAATAGCTCTATTTGCTAATGTTGACTATCTCCAATTTATTGCAATAACAGAAAAATTATTCTTGTAAGCTATTTTAAACTTACTAAAATATATCAACTTTGAGAAATTTCTATGTCATTATATGTATATTCAGATACAACTTTCTCCTACCAATGATATCTTTTCTAGTGTTAGATTAACTTTTTTTTTTTTGGTGGGACCCTCGCCAGTGGCTGGGGATCACAACCCAGCACTCAACCGCTGCGCCACCAGGGGAGGCCCTAGATTAACTTTTTATTCTTCAGGAGTACAACAACTGAAACTTAAAAGATTATTGAAAGTCAGTGAGAAAATATAACTTAATTGAAACTCTGAGTAATAAATGGATGCGGATAACAGTCTCTGCTAAATAATCTTCCCTCCTTACTGGCATTTAAGCTGTCTTTTGTTAATTTATTTTATGATTTTGTTATGTAAAAAATGTATCAGTAGCTATAAGGAATGATCCAAAAAGCCATATGAAAAATGCTCTTAGCCAACTCGGTGAACCTTAATTGCTTCCTGATTTCCTGATACCTTAAGCTGTGCTAGTTCTTAGGGATTTTCTAAAGCCAGCACCTCTGCCCTCAGGGTGCCTATAAGCCCGTGTGAGAAACAGGATTCATGAAAGATAATAATGCTGTGCAGTGGAGGTAAGCACTAAATGAATGAAGTGTACAGAATAACAGATCAGGGGATGGAAAGAAATGTTCCAGTTAGGTTGATTGATTAAGATTTTATGGACAAGGAGCTAGTTGAAACAAAACCTTGAAGAACGCATACAGTTCTTATATGAAGAGATGAAAAGAGGAAATAAGGCACAAGGGTGGCAAAAACAGCATGACCAAAGTGCAAGAAATTAGATTAGTCGACTAAAATATTACTTAATTAGTAATCGCCAGGAGGTGAAGCTGGAATGACTGGTTGGGCCAACTCACAGGAGATACAGAGAACAGGATCAAGTGCTGAGACTCTGTTTTCTGGGAGTGTGTGAAAGGTTTCTAAGCAAGGTATTATCATGACTATATTGATTTTTTGGCAGATTGGTCTGCTGCTTGCATGAGCAGGAATAAATAGAGCTACACATGTCAGAGAATGAGGAAAATCAGAATGGAAAAATAGCTTGGATTTTTAATATAGATTATTTTTAATATAAGTATAACCTATGGGTAATAAACTATGTGGGTGAAATTGTGCAGCTGGAAATTCAAGACAAACTTCTAGGAAGGAGATGGTGGATGAGATTGAGAAGATAGAGCCGCCAGAGATGGTGACTGAGCTGTGTCTGTGAGTGAGCATGGAGGGAAGAGCATCTAGAAAGAAGTGAAAGAAAACCAAATTAAAATGTTAGAGAAGCCAACAAAACAAGCATAAGGAATAAGTAGGTATGATGAGGACTGAAATAATGTACTACGGACCCTAGAGAGTGAGAGCATGGTCAAGCCTCAGAGGGTGAGAGGTTACACAGAACTGAAGGAGAAAGGAAGGTCACAGAAGTTGGTGATCAGAAGTCAGAAGGAACCATGTGATATAGTCAGAAGTGCATTGTAGTAAATTTGAGTGGGATTTGAAGAAATGGAAAGTTACTTTTAAAATTGCTGTCTAGAAGGGGCATACTACACCCAAGGTTACCCAGTATTGTATTATCGTGGGCCACCTACAGCTCATACCTGCCTTTGAGATTGAAATTAAGGTTGAAAAGTTATTTTTAGACCCTTAAATTTCTCAGATATGAAGCACTCATCTTACAAATGATTCCTTCCTAAATAAATCCTGCTGTCTTTGCTTCGCATAAAATTATAGCCCCTCTTGCCTAGCAGAGACCATATGCACTATCTAAAACTCCATCCAGAGAAGCAGAGCATCTATTTTATTTTGGGTTTTTAGATCAAAGGTGGACCAGGTTCAGGACATAGTTACTGGAAACCCTACAGTCATCAAGATGGTCGTCAGCTTCAACAGAGGAGCCCGCGGGCAGAACACACTGCGCCAGCTCCTGGCTCCAGTGGTGAAAGAGATCATCGATGACATGTCCCTGATCATCAACACGAGCCCTGTAGATGTGTACAAAGCTTGGGTGAACCAACTGGAAACACAGACTGGAGAGGCCAGGTAACAAAGCCAGGGAGATGTGGGTTTTCAGTCATGTTTTATGATCATTTTTTACCTGCATATTTATATTTTCCCTTAAGGTATATTAAGCTGTGGTGAGAGAACAGAATTTACTGTACAAAGTCAGTTTCAATCCAAGATGTTACCTCCCTTTAATATATCCATGCAGGTCTCAATCTTGGACTCTTCTCATCTTGCTATTTTTACATTTCAGTATCAATTGACCCCAACTCACATCTTCTATAATTCTCTCCCTTGGTTTTTCTTTGTGTTTTTTTAAACCGAGATGTAGAAATGGCACATGCTTTCTCTTTACCTAATAATATTTCTTTTTATAGTTACCAAGTAAGTAACTTATCATGTAAGTATTAGCAGAACAGGTATAAATCCAAGCAAGCCCGAGTGTATATTTCCTGCAAAAGGATATCTTAGGTAATAGTTAAGTTATTCCAAGAGAAGTGTGTGGTGGTTGTGGAAGCACTGTTTATAATGGCAAACTGTTGGGGAAAGTCAAGATACTGATTTTGGAGCGTTCTCTCCTGTCGGCACTGCGGACATAGCCATGAATGAGTATGCACAGGCTTGAGAAGAGGTGTGCCTGGAGTGTCCTTTGCAGTGGCACAAAGAAGATCTGATTTGAACCCAGTGAAATTGCCAATGCCAACTCCTGTCAGGAAATCAGGAAGCTGATCACAGACCTACTGCACATCCAGAAGCTTGTAACTGTCCATTCCCTGGCTCCATGCCCTTCCAGTGGGCCAAAACTTGGAACTCAGTGAGGATAAAATGCTTGTTCCTAATCTCCCAATTAACTGAATGTCATTTGTTGTGTTTTCAGCAAGCTGCCTTATGATGTGACCACAGAACAAGCGCTGACATACCCAGAAGTGAAAAATAAGCTGGAAGCATCCATTGAGAATCTGAGAAGGGTCACCGACAAAGTTCTGAATTCTATCATTTCTTCCCTTGATCTACTGCCGTAAGTGGTGTATAAGTAGCAACTTCAACATTCTTTGTGGAATACTGTGTAAAACTCCTGTAGTGAAACTAGGGTGTTTCCCTCATACTGTGTTTATTCCTTTAAAAGTTTGCCTATATTTTGATTCAATTGTTCTCTAAGGCTGGAACAACACAGAACAGTACTTAATTATGATCAGTGAAAGTCCTGTGATTCTGTCACCATCTCATTTTATGATTAATTTGTAGGAGAACTGCTCAGCTTTAGTTGACTGGAACAAATGCTGTATCCTTCTACTTAGCCTTTTTCCATTATTTTCTTTTGTCATCTGTTTTACATGTAGTTATGGATTGAGGTATATAGCCAAAGTACTGAAGAATTCCATCCATGAAAAATTTCCAGATGCAACAGAAGATGAGCTGTTAAAGGTAGATTTTCAAGGGTAATCTCATCATAGCTTCTCTTGGGGGTCTGAGACAAAATTACCAATGTACCATTTCCTAAGATTTTTCCCCATGTGTGACTACTTATAATATGTAAGTCATCAAGATTATTCATTATGCTAAGGTTAATTTGGAAATTTTACTCATTATATTAGAACATTAGGGAACAATAAGCATAGTTTTCACCAAAAATAATTTTGTTAATTATATTCATAACATGTGATTGTATTCACCACCTTTATTTAATTCCTTGGTAAGGTTCATGTCATGAAATGATCCACTTTCATGGAAAATGTACATGAATATTTACTTCAATAAAACAAATCTGAAACTCTTTTAGTTTTCTTTCTTAAACATAGTCTCTGCTTCTGCATCACCCCAGATTGTTGGAAACCTCCTTTACTATCGGTACATGAACCCCACCATCGTAGCCCCAGACGGCTTTGACATCATCGACATGACAGCCGGAGGTCAGATAACTCCTGACCAAAGGAGAAACTTGGGATCCGTGGCCAAAGTTCTTCAGCACGCAGCCTCCAACAAGCTGTTTGAAGGAGAAAATGAGCATCTCTCATCCATGAACAATTATTTAACAGAGACATATCAGGAGTTCAGGTGAGAGGACTCATTACTTCTGGAGAAACTTGCCAGATAATAGACAAGAAAACAGGTTTCCCCTGCACTCCTAAAGTAGGACATTCCTATTTGGTAGGATGTGGTAGGTTATTTTTGACATCTGGGAACATCCCAAAATTTTCACATGTAAATTTAATGGAAATGGTATTCTAAGGTCCCCAAAATAGCCCACCAAATCGTTCCAAATAGGAACATTCGACTTTCATGGAACAAAGGAAACCTGTAATGTGTGTTCTGTAGCCCAAAATGGAGTTGACGGTAGAGCACAGGAGCCTGGGGCTGTGTGCGTTCCCTCTGGCAGGCATTGTGGGGAAGAGAAGGAAGAGGCTAGCAGACTGAGCTATTGCTCTCTGCTGCCCCCCACCCAGCACCCCTATTACATTGAGTCATCCCCAAAATACAGTTCCTGCTGTTAACTAACCGAAGTGTTTATTCTTCCTAACATGCTACAGACTTATAGTACTTAGAATTAAAATATCAAAGTAGTTGATTTCTGCTTTGTTGAACTTAAGAAGAGTATTTTGTTTAAAAACTTGTCCAGTCAGGAAAAACTTGCTTTATCTGCATGAGACAGTGGAAACTTTGTATTTGGTGATGAAAGCTTGGGGAAATCCAAGTTTTGTGTTTGTTAAGTTTATGTTTTCTATCTGTATCTTCTGTTTTATCCTCTATCCTCTCAATTTTGCATGTAGGACTTATTCTACTGAGTTTCCTTGTGTTTCCAGTCAGATCACTAATCAGCCTGGGACGTGAAAGGAGTGATCTAGTAAGAAGATTCACTCAACCTGAGGCTTTCTCAGGAAGCATGTTTATCTTGACATTCATTTTTCTTCTTGTCTGTGATTCTGTTCATTGGTCATAGAAGTATGATATAAATGTGGCCTCTTTCACGTCTCATTTGGGAAATTATAATTTCCTATTCTTTAGTTTTCCTCTGAACTAATGACTTAACTACTGACAAAGGTAGTTCATGATCATTAATCTCTATTTAGAATTGGTGGCTTCTTGTGAGAAAATTTCCCCAGTTCCCCAAACTCCAGGAAGTTTTGATTCAGGCTGCTAATTTTAGTTCCTCTCGATGGCTAAAAACATAATGTCTGTTTCCTGCAAGCCCTTATCTGCTATTAGAGTTGCCCGCTACTTCCTTTTTCCTCAGATAATTACTATCAATCTGTGATTCTAGCTCTTCCTCATTTAAAAATTAAACAAAACCAAAAGTCTCCTCTCATCTCTTCATAAATTCTTTTTTTCCCTTTTTACTCTCATATTTGTTCTCTATGTTCCCCAAACACTAATAAAAAACTAGCAAATTTCAGGATGACCAGCATGCTCCCCCCTATTACCCCCCAGCAACACCACCCTTTACTCTTCCAAGCCTTCAGTGGGGAAGGCAGACGTCATTTCTGGAACATGAGCCTCAGGATCTATACCAAAGGTTACTTCAGGCATATGAAACATCTGCAACTTTATAGAATAGAACAACCTATCTACCTGTGCAAAGGATCACTTCTAAACCATGGTCATAACACCCGGGTTTTTCTTGATCTCTTTGTCTAAATTTGCTGCAGTTTAAACTAGCAGACATTTTAAGTCTGGGTACTGGAGGAACGGGTACCGGACAATATGTTTGTGTATCTAGACTTAACAATCCTTTCATCAGCCAGCAACCGATGTTTGAATCAACTGAGACTAAAGTAGTCTTAACTCAAGTTTTTGGGGAATTGGTAAAAGAAACTTTGAAGGTCTGTGAGGAGGTTGAAGGCTCAGGAACATGTGCCATTTAAAGCAACAAATTTGATGAACTGTTTTTGGTTTATTTTCTCTAAAAAGACATGATTTTTAGATCAAGAGATACCTTGATATTTTTGTTTAAATTTCTGGGGTCATTTGAAAAACAACTTTTTAAAAAATGACCAGCTGTAATTTGATTACAATGACTCACCCACAGGGCTTCAGGCCTTACTTCTCTCTCTATTCCTGTCAGAAGAGCTGGTCCAACAGCAGAAACATGGACTCAGCTCCCAGAATCGGAAGCCAGCCTGGGAGAGTCTGTAACAAATTCCTTTGAGGTTTGGGGTGGAGAACAAAGCACTAGTCATCATTCAATATTTCCCCACTATTCCAGTGAAGCAGCTTAGTTCACAGATTTGACTGTTTTTGTCTTTGTTAGGAAATATTTCAAAGAAGCATGCAATGTCCCTGAGCCAGAAGAAAAGTTCAATATGGATAAATACACAGATGTGGTGATGGTCAGCAAACCAGTCATTTATATCTCAATTGAAGAAATCATCAACACACATTCAGTAAGTTGGGTTGGGGAAGGGTCTTGGCAAAGGACCACCATTGACCCCGTTATCTTAAAAACATATGGTCTCTGCAGAGGTACTATAAACATGTGCTAATGCTAAAGGTCTTTTTTTTTTTGAAGATCTATTTATTCATGCATTAAGAACTAAGGTACAGGCCAGAGGTGTGGTGAGAGGTGAGAGGATTCACCAGAGACAGAGTGGGAAGCAGAACAAGCGAATTGACTGAAATACGATGCTGAGGGGAGCAGCGGGCAAGACAGGAGAGGTCTGCTGTACCATGTGGGTCACCTCCCTCCTTGGCTGGGGATAAAATTCATGCTGCAGTAACTGCGGATTGCTTCATAGTGCTGAGCCTTAACCCCTTGCGCCACCAGGGAGGCCCCGCTAATCTCAAACTCTTAATCCTAAAACACCTCTGGTAATTTATTCCCTGGCTCTTATACATTAACAAAATTCCTTTTCCCAAACAATGACAGTTTACTTGTTACACAATCTGTTTACAAAGTCTGAATATGCAGTTTAAGTCCTCAGCAAGGGCTAATTCTGATTTTCACCCCACTCACCAAGGCCACACTGCCCCAACCCCTACAATTTACCCCCTCTTTTTTAAGATTTTATTTATTTTTGTGTAGAATAGCAGGTGGAGGCCAGAGGTATGGGGTGGTGAGAAGATTCACCGGAGACAGAGTGGGGAGCAGAAAAGGTGAATTTACTGAAATACACTGCTGAGGGAAGCAGTAGGTGAGGCAGGAGAAGTCTGCTGCTCCATGTGGATCACCTCCCTGGCCAAGCTTAAACTCAAGCCATTGCCCTGAGACTTACCCCCTAGACCACAAGGGAGGTCCTTTTCTTTCCCCACTTCAAGCATTCTCTTAGCTTTTCCAGTAATTCTCTCTCTATTCTAATGTTTGGACACAAAAGAAAAGGGAATAAACAGGCTGCCTGAATTAGGAAAGAGGCAGAAGACACCCCCACCCACCAATACCCACCTGCAAAGAATCACTTCTATTGTTCTCGAAACTCCCATCTCACAGTCTGTGCTGTGTCATACAGCCTCCATCTGGTTGAAATGCAAACAACATCACCATCTGCCACTAGCGTGTGTTGAGCCCCCCGGGGGCAGGGCCGCTTTCTTGGCATTGGGAAACCTTAGATGGCTATAGCCAAGTGAAATGAGAGCCTAAGCATCAAGACGCTTTTTGTTTTGGATTTAGTTTTTTAGACCAAATAGAACTTATTTTCTGAAAAATTTAGAATCTTTAAAGTTCAGCCTATCAAGAATAGTGCTGGCCCTTGGTACACCAAGTGAAGTCCCGTGGACATGTCAGAAACGCACACCAGACCTCACAGGTCAGGACCTACATCTGACAAGGCCCTAGCTGATTTGGTGACATGCTCAAGGCTTCGAAGCACTAGTTAAGGATGACCCAGCTTTGGGCTATATGCATAGCAATGGGGTAAATCTGACAAAACATCTCTCAAAAATGCTGCCACATCCCCATCACACCATGAGTGGTGTGTACTCATGTACTCATGAGTGGCAAATGGCTTAAAATTTCACTCTATTAATAAGCTCTTCTAAGAAACAAAAGTTTGAATGTGAGTTTGGAAGAAAAAATGTATGACTTTTGATTTCCCTTTGTTAGAGTCAGCAAGGAATCTCCTTGACATTTGTAACAAGCATAGTGGCCAGTAAGTCCTGTGAGTGGCCCCAAACAAAGGCAGCTCTGCAGTTCTTCATGACGGCAGAAGGAGTGGGTTAAGTGAAGAGGTTATACTTGTTTCTTTTAAATACTCACAACCACAAAGAAAACATGTCCAGCAATGCACCATTTGCAAAAATAATTTTCAGAGCATGTAGACTGATTTATAATTGAGCAACGGCCCATCTGTCTATTTTTATGGCAGAGCACCCATGTCAGAAAACCCTCAAAGTTGGCTGCACATTTGCTGGGGGCAGTATCCTCATGCAGTAAAAGTGGTGAGAAGTTATATTTTACCATGAGAGATTCTTTTCCAAGGACAGCAGAGGAAAAATGATATTGTGTTCATTTAGACTGTTACTCTTTTTTTTTTTTTGAAGATTTATTTTTTTTTAAACAGTTATTTATGCACAAAGGAATTGGGGTACAGGCCGGAGATGTGGGGGTGATAGCATTCACCAGAAACAGAGTGGGGAACAGAACAGGCAGATTGACTGAAATACACTGCTGAGGGCAGCAGTGGGCAAGTCAGGAGAGGTCTGCTGTGCCATCTGGGTTGCTCCCTGGCCGGGAATCGAACTCGTGCTGCAGTGGCTATGGATAGCTTCATAGGTTGCGTCTTAACCCCTTGCACCACCAGGGAGGCCCAAGATTTATTTATTTTTATACAAGAGCTGGTGCACAGGCCAGAGGCATGGGAAAGTGAGAGGATTTACCAGAGACAGAGTTGGGAGCAGAACAGGCAGACGGACCGAAACACACTGCTGAGGGGAGCAGCGGGCGCAACAGGAGAGGTCCGCCACGCCATGTGGGAGTCTCCCTGGCCGACTGGGAATCGAACCCATGCTGCAGAGGCTGCGGACAGCCTCCCAGCACTATGCTCAACCTGCTGTGCCACTGGGGAGGCCCTAGACTGTTACTCTTTAAGGAGAAATGGTCTGTTCCTTTGTTAACAAGAATTGAAAACAGAATTTATCCACTTCTGGGAAACAGCTTGTGACCCACTGGGATTTTTTTGCTGTTTTAAGTTGGAAGCAAATGTAATAATGTGGGAGTAATGTAATTGAGGAGAAGACATTCCTGTTTAGCTTCTCAATTGAGGAGGTGACGTCACAGGCAGACAAGGCATGGCGGCAGCACTACTTGCTCTAAGGAATATGTAGAACCTCCAAGTAAGTTATTTAAGGAGACATCTCCAGGAAGTTTTGTGTTCTGTTGTTATCAGAATAAAGGGTAAAAGCCAATTGCCTGATTCATTCCTTTCAGAGACAACAGTTAAATCAGCTGTCCTATACCTTTAAAGAACAAGAATATAAATTTATCCATCTTGCTCATTTTGTTCATGTCTCTAACTTACCTTCCCCATAAAATATCATACATATGTCACCTCTTTTACTTATATGAAGTCTTTCTTTCAATGAACTCACCTTTTGAAAAGATCAATAAGGAGTGGTATTACTCTGCTTCAAAATAAAATGTCTCTAACTTAGCAGAAAAGCTCACTTGCCCTGTAATAAGCAGAAATTTTAAAAGTAAGTAAAAAGATTAAAATGAAAACTAAGTAGCTGGTTATAGTAATTCTCCTGAAGCTATGCCTTTGAGACCTGCTCTCCTTAAAAACCCAATTAGCAAGTGTCAGGAAATGTGAAGGAAAATTCAGCATTAAACAGATACTCTCTCATTCACTTGTCTAAAGATTAAAAAAGAATGATAAAAGCAGTGTGATACTAGCAGAGGATAGACATACTGCTCTGTGGGATAGAGTTAAGAGACCAGAAGAAGCCCTTCAAAATTATGTCAGTTCATTTTCAAGAAGCAAAAAGAGTGGAGAAATAATAGTCTTTTCAACTAATGGTAGTTGAAATCCACATGCCAAGAATGAGGTTTCACCCCTTCCTTGCATGCTACACAAAAATAACCTGAAAGAGATCAGAGACCTAGATGTTAGGGGGTTAAATCATAAGAATCTTAGAAGAAAACACGGGATTAAATCTTTGTGTGTTGGATTTGGTAATTTTTTTTAGATAAAATACTGAAACACAAGCAACAAAAGAAAAAATAAATTGAACCTCAACATATGAAAATGTGCTATAAAGAATGCTATCAAGGAATTGAAGTGGGGGGCCTCCCTGGTGGTGCAAGGGGTTAAACACTGCACTATGAAGCAATCTGCAGCCTCTGCAGCACAAGTTCAATCCCCGGCCGGCCAGGGAGGAACCCACATGGTGAAGCAGACCTCTCCTGTCTCGCCCGCTGCTCCACTCAGAAGTATATTTCAGTCAGTCTGCCTGTTCTGTTCCCCACTCTGTCTCTGGTGGATCCTCTCACCTCCCCTACCCCCGCATCTCTGGCATATACTGCAGCTCTTGTATGCATAAATAAATACATCTTAAAAAAAAAAAAAAAGAAATTGAAGGGGCCTTCCTGAAGGCCTAGGCATTAGGTCTCAGCACTATCACACTATCACCACTGCGGCCTGAGTTCAGTCCCCAGCCAGGGAGATACCCACATGGTGCAGCAGACCTCTCCTGTCTTGCCCACTGCTCCCCTTAGCAGTGTATCTCAGTAGATCCACCTGTTCTGCTCCCCATTCTGTCTCTGGTAAATCCTCTCACCCCCTGCACTTCTGGCCTACAGCCCAGTTCTTCTACACAGAAAATAAAGTAAGAAATTGAAGAGAATGAGAAAAACTAATTGCAAATAATATATCTGGTATCCAATTTATAAAGAATACCTACAATTCAAAAGCAGAAAACAGCCTATCTAAAACAGGAGCTATGGACTCTTGAATAGGCATTTCTACAAAGATATCCACAGCACATGAAAAGATGCTTGACTTTACTGATGGTTACAGCATCCAAATCAAAACCACGATGAGATTCAGCTTTACACCTGTTAGGATGCCTACTGTGAAAACAGAAAATCAATGTTGGTGAAGATGTGGAGAAGTTGTAACCCTTGTACACAATTGTGGGAAAGTAAAGTGATGCTGCTGCTGTGGAGGCGAGTACAACAGCTTCTCAAAAAATTAAAATAGAATTACCACATGATGTAGCAATTCCATTTTAAGAGAACTAAAAGCAGAATCAGAGATATTTGTACATCCATGTTCATTATTCACAGTAGCCAAAATGTGGAAGGAACCCAAGTGCCCATCAATAGATGAATGAATGGGGGCATCCCCTGGTGGCGCAGCGATTGAGCACTGGGCCGCAGCCTCTGCAGTGCCAGTTTGATCCCCAGCCACCGGCGAGGGTCCCACATGGCGCGACAGACCTCTCCTGCCACCCGCTGCTCCCCTCAGCAGTGTGTTTCATCAGTCTGCCTGTTCTGTTCCCCGCTCTGGCTCTGGTGGATTCTCTCCCGCACTTCTGACTGTATAAATAAATAAATAAATCTTAAAAAAAAAAAAATAGATGAATGAATGGATGAGCTAAATGTGGTATATACAGAAAATGGAATGTTACTTAACCTTAATAAAGAACAGGAAGGAAGGAAATCTCCAATAAGAATGAAACTTGAGGACATTATGCTTTGTGAAATAAGCCAGTAACTATTATTATTCCATTTACACGAGGCACCTAGAATAGTTAAATTCAGAGAGACAGAATGTAGAATGGTGGTGGCTAGTGAAAGGAAGAATAGGGCAATGGGTACAGAGTTTCAATTGAAAAGACTGGAGCTTGATGCATAACAGTGTGAATGGCCACCGCTGAACCACCCTCTTAAAAACAGTCAACCTGACAAATTTTGTTATGTATATTGGACTGTAATTAAAAATAAATACTTAAACATAATTTTTAATGGGCAAATGATCTGAATAGATATTGTTTTAAGGAATTATACAGAAAGCCAAAAAGCACATGAAAAGATGTTCAGTGTCATTGGTATCTCATTGTGGTTTTGATTTGCATTCCAATTTCTATACACCAGAATGGCTAGAGTCAAAAACTCAGGTAATAGCAGATTTGAGAAGCATGTGGAGTAATTGAGCAGATAGTAGAAATGTAAACTGGCACAGCTAATTTGGAAATCAACTGGTAATTCCTAAGTATCAAACACAGAGTTAACATACAATAAAACAATTCCACTCCAGAGAAATAAAAACTTTTTTGTACTTGAATGATTATAGCATCATTATTTATAATAACCAAAAGGTAGAAACAAATGTTCATCAAGAGATGAATGAATCAAATGTGGTATATCCATGTAATGGAATATTAGTTGACAATAAAGAGAAATAAAGTACTGATACATGCTACAATGTGGACAAACCTTGAAAATATCATGCTAAGTTAAAGAAGATGTCACAAAGTCCATGCATTATTTCATTCATATGAAGCACCCAGAACACCCAAATCTATAAAGATAGAAAGTAGATTCATGGATTCCAGAGGCTAGGAGGAGGGATTAATGGAAGTGACTGCTAATGGACATAGGCAGGTTGATAAAAATTTCCTGAAATTAGATAGTGGTGATGGCTGCACAATTCTCAGAATGTCCAAAAACCTATTGCATCATTTTTTTTTCATTGGTATTTTATTTTATTTTTAAATATTTTATTTTATATAATACATCATTTTTCATCTTTGTACAATGTATGCATTTTCATTTTGGTTATATTCCCCATACAGTTGCACACCCCCCACCTTATTTTGACTCTAGTTCTTCCTCTCCCTTTCCCTCCCTAATTCCCCCGTAATGTATCTCTGGTTAATAGTTGCTTGTTTATTTTGGTTATTACTTTGCATTGATTAGTCTTTTTCCTGGTCTCTTATTTCGGTTTTCTAAATTCCTGCTATGAGTGAGACCATCCGGTATTTTTCCTTTTCTTTCTGCCTTATTTTGCTGAGCACATTGCATAATTTTAATTATTTTTTTTAAGATTTATTTATTTATGCATACAAGAACTGGGGGACAGGCCAGAAGTAGGGGGAAGGTGAGAGGATTCATCAGAGACAGAGTGGGGAACAGAACAGACGGAATGACTGAAATACACTGCTAAGGGGAGCAGAGGGTGAATCAGGAGAGGTCTGCTGCACCATGTGGGTTGCTCCCTGGCTGGGGATCGAACTCATGCTGCAGTGGCTGCGGATAGCTTCATAGGTTGTGTCTTAACCCCTTGCGCCACCAGGGAGGCCCACATTGCATCATTTTAAATTATGGTATATGAACTATATTTCAAAGCTGTTGACGAAAAGATTGAAAATAGAAAAGTTTAATTTTCTCATTATGATTCAGAGTTTTATATGATACTTATTCGAAACAACTAAAATTATGTTTCTATACTTTGGAAATATTATTTTAATTCTAAAACCAAGCAGAAACAGATGTGTTGTCTTTCATGGTTTCCCCCTCAAAGCTGTTATTCCTCAAAAGTTAAGAATTTTCTCTAAGACCTGGCCAGACACCCCAGCAATGTTACTAACCTTTGATCCTTTTTGGTGAAAGAGGAAAGAACTTGGTGTATCCTGGTCTCAAGCCAAGGAAAACCATACAGACATTTCTGCCATTCACTCCCCATGAAAGTTGTTCAGTGCCAAAGATATGTTTGGCATCTAATAGTTATTAGAGCAAATAGTGATTATTGCATGATTTTTACTTGAAGAGATAGGGAACTTTCCTCTTTGCTACAAAGGGCTAGCCAAAAGACTGATTCCTCTTTTTAGGTTATTTCCTACAACTTGGCCTTTTTTCATAAAGGTAGAGTAGAACACGGGTTAGATGGTAGAAGGGTGGCCCTGGCCAGGTCTTGTGAGATCTTGCTGCAAGAGTAGCCAAAATGTGGACGGAACCCAAGTACCCATCAATAGATGAATGAATGGATGAGCAAAATGTGGTGTATACATAAAATGGAATGTTACTTAACCTTAATAAAGAACAAGAAAGAAGGAAATCTCCAATAAGAATGAAACTTGAGGACATTATGCTTTGTGCTTGCTGCACGTCCCTCTAAGATAAAATAAAGATTCTCCATGGTCTCAAATTATAGTAAATGTCACACATATTTAAGATTCAAATGATATCAAAAAAAATATTGCAAAACTGGAAAATGAACTATGTAAATATATTAGCAGTTGAGAACGTAATCTTCTGTGTTTTTCTTTGTATACAAAGCTCCTGTTGGAACACCAGGATGCAATTGCCCCTGACAAACAGGACTTACTGAATGAACTATTGGACTTGCTGGGAGACGTACCCAGCGTGGAATCATTTCTTGGTAAGAACTTCTTCTTTCTCCTTCTCCTCTAGTTTGCATTTTGTTGTTTGTCTTTCCTAGCAAATCACCATTTGGGGGGGAATTTAAGACTTAAGTTATTAAGTCTTAACAACTTAAGGGCTAAGTCTAGCCCTTGATGTCCAAGAGTGTAAATCAATTTGATATTCTTTTTTTTTTAAGATTTATTTACTTATTTATACAAGCACTGGGTACAGTCAGAGGCATGGGGGGGCGAGAGAATTCACCAGAGTCAGAGAGGGAGAGCAGAGCAGGCAGACTGACGAAGTACACTGCTGAGGGGAGCAGCGGGCGGCAGGAGAGGTCTGAGCGCCATGTGGGACCCTCACCTGGTGGCCGGGGATTGAACTGGTGCTGCAGGGGCTGCGGGCAGCTTCGCAACCCAGCACTTAACCGCTGCGCCACTGGAGAGGCCCCCAATTTGATATTCTTGAAGGTTGACTCTGAACATTCAAAAAGTATTTGTTAATCTATATCATATAAATTTTATGTATTTTAAATTTTATAATGTTTAAATCAATGATTTTAAACGTCTATATTGGACTGCATTGGACTATGCTGGACTGTGATTTTTTTTAATGAATACCATGGTCATCTGTCCAACACCCACACCTGTCTTCCCACAGAACTTGATCTTAGTCTTATGCCACCATCACTGTGGATGAATTGGAGGAATGACAATGTTTTTTTTCTCCAGGGGAAGGAGCCATTGACCCCAACGACCCTAACAAGACTAATACACTACATCAACTCTCAAAGACTGAGATTTCTCTTTACTTGACAAGCAAGTATGACGTGGGGGATGGCGAGGCAATAGACGGCCAAAGCCTCATGATAAAGTAAGTTTGGGGCTTAAAGGACACTTGTCTCCAATTTTGCATCATAAGCCGTGTAAATTCAAATAAGGCTGAATCCCCAAATAACTCATTTTTAAAAAGCTGATACTAAAATACATTCTGTTCAGCCATCAAACATCTAACCAAACTAAGAATAGACTCTTAGAGTGTAAGAAGGACCTAATCATCATGATAGTTTAAACCTGTTTTGTTTGCAGTTTTGTACTTTGGTTGACCCTTGAAGAAGGCAGGTTTGAGCTGTGTCTGTTCACTTTTATGTGGATTTTGTGCTGTCCATGGGTTCCACATTCACAGGGTCACCCACTGTTGGATGTAGGTTGATTGGATCCTGGGCATGGAACCGAGTGTACAGAGCCAACTATTAGTTATACTCAGATTTTCAGCTCTGTAAGTGGTCAGGACCCCTAACTCTCAGGTTGTTCAAGGGTCAGCTGTAATTTGTGGAACTTGGATCTCTTTCCTTTAAGACATAAAGTGATCGACTCAGCCTTTGGTAACTGAAGGGAACTAGCTGTTTCAGAGTGGCCAAAATATTAGTGAAGAAATACCTTGAACCAAATTTAATTGCTGGTGAAAGTGGTGTATCCATGACAAGATGGTGATAGCATCTGATTTATCAGCCTTCTTTCTCATCAAAACCTAGATATGTTTACCAGCCTTCATATTATTTATCTCCTTTCTATCCCCAAAGATTTCAGGGATGCATTCACACTTGTAATCAATACTGTATTTTTTTTCATCAAGACCTCTGGATATTCCAGCAGTCCTTTACATGTGATCCATAACAAGATTAAAACACCCTACACCAAAACCAAGTGCTCACCCAGCAATGCAATTTTTGAGAACTTATATAAACAAACAGATGTGTGTTAGCACATTAGAACAGTTGTATATTGGGCTGAGGTGGAGAATGGAAGTGGAAATAGGGACCAAAGGAAACAAAGAAGTATTTAAATCAGGAAACAAAGAAGTATTTAAATCAATCGAAAGCTACATGTCCTGAGTTCTAATGTTAAGAAGGAGAACTTACTGTGTTGTGATATGTGCTGCTACTGTTAGGCACTGTTATCTTATTTTCAGATCATCTAGGGCTCCAATCATTCATGTAACAAATATTTGAGTCTCTAGTCTATGTCCATGGCACTGGGCTTGATGCTGGGGATGCTGTGATGAGCTGCTTTAGTAATGGTCCCTTGCCTTCCCAGGGTCTGAAACTGACAGCAGAGGGCAGCTCTCAACTGTAAGACAGAGGACTCAGCCTCCTTAGAGTTGAGGGCAGTTCCATGAGACTACTGATTGCTAAGTCAGATTGAATTTGCAGAGAAACAGCTCAGGGCAGGGCAACAGAGAAATGAGGGAAGCTGTGGTATCTGCTCCCTGGATTGTTGGAGCAAGTGCCAATTATAAAGGTAACTGGAAATACAGATTGTGTGGAAATTAAATTAGGCTAACTATCCTGTAATCTCATAAACTTTGTTTTTAGAAATAATGGGAAGAATTATTTTCATGATTCCTTTTGTCATTTGTGCACCATTTCCCAAATGCAGCCAACTCAAATGTCCTCATTAATGAATGAAAATCACAATTTGAATAGTCTAAAATATCAAATAATCTGATTTTATATTTATACTCATTTCTGAATGAGTCTCCATGCACAGCAAATTTTTGAAACGCATATTTTAAAAGCTAAACTAAAATTCAGACGTGTTGGACAGTCTTGTGTGTTAGCTTGGGCAACCTGGTGCATGTCTCCCCTTGCCTCAGCCCTTGGGTGGCTCTCTCCCAGCTCCGCACTGTGTGCTGGAAACTAACACTGTCTGTTCTTTCAGTGATTGTAGTAGAGCCAGCCAGTGGCTTCATTTTTTTTTTATTATGCTAAAATACACATAACACAAAATTTAGCATTTTAATACTTTAAGTTAAAATTCAGTGGCATTTAGTGCATTCGGAATTCTGTATAACCATCACTGCTATTTACTTTCAGAACATCTCCATCATCCAAAAGTAAACCCTGCCCCCATTAAACAGTCACTTTCCTGGTCCCCCTGCAGCATCTTTCCAGACCCTGTGTTGCATTTCCTGGTATAGCACTAAATCTGCTCTCTGGGAACTTGTCTATTCCTTATATCTCCCGCAACATGTGTCCTGTGTCTGGTCTTTTTCTCAGCATAATGTTTGTGGGTGAATAATATTCCATTGTGTGAATATACCACATTCTTTGTAGATGTTTAATTTGTTTCCATCTTTTAGCTATTATAAATAGGACTGCCATGAGCATTCACATACAAGTTTTTATTGTAAACCTGTTTTCAATTCTTTGTGGTTTATACCAAGAATTACTGGATCGTGTGGTAATTCCATGTTTAGCTTTTTGAGGAACTGTAAATTATTTTTCCACAGTGGCTGCGCCATTTTATAGTCCCACCAACAAAGTATGAGTTTCAATTTTTCTGCATCTTCAACAACACTTATTTTCTGCTTTGCTCTTTTCTGACAACCATACTAGTGGGCATACAGTATCTAATTGTGGTTTTGATTTTCATTTCCCTAGTGATTAATAATGTTGCGCATCTTTCCTTCCCAGTCATTTGTCTATTGTTACATAAGTGTCCATTCTTTGCCTGGATTGTCTTTTTGTTCCGGAGTTACAAGAGTTCTTCATATATTTTGGAGACTAGACCCCTATCAGATTTGCAAATATTTTCCACCCTTTCCAGGGGGTGTCTTTTATTCTCTTGGTAATCTTTTCCACTCAAAGTTTTGGTTTTTTTTTTAACTTGATGAAATCTAGTTTGTCTTTTTGTTGTTGTTGCTTTTTTGTGTCATATTTAAGAATTTATTGCTTAATCCAAGGTCATGAAGATTTACATGTCTTCTAAGAGTTCTCTAGTTGTTGCCTTTATATCTTTTTTTTTAAAGATTTATTTATTTATTTATATTTAGATCTGATTCCTTGTAAGTTAATTTTTGTGTAAGGTATAAGGAAGTGATCCAGCTTCACTCTTTTGTGTATAGATGTCCAGTTGTCCCATCACCATTTCATAGACTATTTTTTCTTCATTGAATGGTCCAGGCACCAATGTTAAAAACAAATTAACTAAATTCTAGTCCATTGGTCTACATGTCCATTCTTAGGCCTGTAGCACACTTCATTGATCCCTGTACTTTTGCAATAAGTTTTGAAATCGGAAAGTGCAAGTCTTCCTACTTGTTCTTTTTCATCATTCTTTTGACTGCCTGAGGTCTCTTGCAATTTCATGTGATCAACTTTTTCATGTATGGAAAAAAAAGGCTATTGGCCCAATGTTTTTTTTTTTTTTTAATAGAGGCATGTTTTCTTTCTTTCTTTATTTGTTTGTTTGTTTGTTTTGTTTATACATGCACTGGGTACAGTCAGAAGCGCGGGAGGGTGAGAGAATTCACCAGTGCCAGAGCGGGGAGCAGAACAGGCAGAAGGACCGAAGTACACTGCTGAGGGGAGCAGCGGGCGGCAGGAGAGGTCTGCGCGCCATGCGGGACCCTCCTCCGGTGGCCGGGAAGCAGCCGGGGATCGAACCGGCGCCGCAGAGGCCGCGGGCAGCTTCGCAACCCAGCGCTCAACCGCTGCGCCACTGGGGAGGCCCTTGGCCCAATGTTTTAATAGCCTTGATAACTTGCTGCTTTCATAGACCTCTGGAATCTAGGAAGCCTCTCCTGAGCATTCCTTGAGATCTTCCTGTTGTCAGAGCCCTTCACTAAAGTCGCCCAGTGATCAATGTGGATAACAACTTGAAATACAGACTGACCAAGTGGCCTTTCCTGAAAGCAGAATTTGAATGTTACCCAAAAGATTCAGTGGATTTGCTCCATCATGTAGACAAACCTTACTTCCAAGTTCATTGTACTTTCTTTAAGTATATATTTGAAAATCTCTGATAGTAAGAGATAATTACAAAATGTGTCATTGATGGGGAACTTAAAAACCATCTAGTCTGAATCTTTACCTTCGAGGTTGGAAATTAAAGTCTAAAATTATAAGAAGCAAATAGTCACTAACATATTTTAAATTCCTAAGTCTTACCTCATTTGGCGTTCCATTAAAACACACTTAGAAATATTGATTTGAAAACTCTTACGGTAATGACTTTTTTCAAAGGTAATAAACCAAATTCCCAACTCATACACCACCATTCTTGAGACTCTTCCTTAGAGAATCACACTTAACTAAAATAAGAGATGCTTTTCAGAAGTTACTGCATGAAATGGGCAATCATTTAGACAGCACAGCAGATAGAACATGAAAATACCTGACTTTTTTCTCTTTAAAAAATTTATGTTCCTTCTTTGTTTAAATAGGTTGTGTTTTTAACTTTCAGAAATGCCTCTTTGTTGATTAATTATAAAATTGAAAATGCCCCAGAGATGAGTAACTCATCCTCATAGAGACCCCTCCAATAGCAAAATCTAGGGCATTGTTAATCCTTATGCTTGCAATTCTAATACCATGCTAGTGTCCTAGTTCTTACTAACTAGATGAGGATGGAGGTAATATTAATAATAAACATCTGTGTGGTGGTTACCATGTGCCAGCTACTATCCTATAATAGATAAATAACAAATATATAGCAACATGTATATAGAGATGTCATGTAACACTCTCAGCAATTCCAAAAGGTAGAGATAATTATGTATATGTTACATATGAGGAAACTAGGTGCAAAGCATGCACACACACACACAATTCCTGGTAGTATAGCAGGGAAATGGAGCAGAGATTCAAATACAGATCATCTTCCAGCATCTGCACTTTTGATGCAACAAGTGTTTATAACTTGTTGAGGATAAGGTCATTGCTCTTTGTATTCGCAGGAATCTGAGAATAAAGGAGAATGCTAGCAGATCAGTTATTGCATAACTGATACTGGGCATGTTCCCAGGTTAAAAAGAAGGAATGACTGATAGAAGAGATATGAAGCGCATATTTGAGTAGGAAGAAACATGTCATGTCTGTTTCCTTTCTGTATATTTATGCAATAGGGAGCATCAGTTTTGGCCACTGCTGTATGTCAATACTGCCAAGCATGGTATTAAAAGAGCAAACAATTGCAGATCTTTCATTATAACTTATGATTCAGCTTAAAATGTGTGATTCTTGTGGCCTTTATTAAGACTATTTTCCTACAAAAGTATGTGTGTTTAAGTAGAAGTTAATATTTGTGGGTTTTAATCATAACTTAGCTGCCTAAGTGCTTGAATTGTCATCTCTAGAGAATTTTTTTCCTATCACATGATGCTGTTTGAACATCCATTATCAACTGAAAAGATTTCCTTGTTTTTGTCCAAATTGGCACAGGCACTGAAATGGCTAAGATGATGTTTAAGGTCTGATGCTAAAAATTTGCAATCATATTATTAAAATGTCGGGCATATGACAGAGGGAGAGGCTCAGGAACACCATTAATGGTCAGAGGGTAATCTCAGGGGCCATGTGAATGGAATGAGCAAACCCAAAAGGCCAACCCAATTTACATGTTCCCTGCGGGTCCACATATTGACAATGAGGCTTGAGCACGGCTAGGATGAGTAAATTCCCTCTTGTATTTCTTTTTATTATTATTATTATTTCTCAGGGCTAGAATCCTCCTCATTCAGGGAGGGCAGGCTCCTTGGGTTGATCAACCTCTTACATATTGTTTGAATAGTCATGGACCAATGACTAACTGGTGACTTAAAACTGGTCAGACTATATCTAGAACATTGTATTTTCATTGGGATGGGAAGGTCATTAGCAAGCTGAGCAGTAAGAACTATGAACTCTCTCTAAATCCTATTGTGAAGAGGTTTAAACAAATGGAGGATTTTCACTTGGAAAAAAAGAAAGGTGCTGGAAGAAGGGACAGAAACACAGTTCTGACTCCTGAGTGACTTTTGTCCAAGGATTGAAACTCTTACTAGGTCTTAGTTACCCCATTTGTAGAATCAGAGGTTGGACTCTTTCCCAAAGGGGCCCCTGGGTGCGGAAGCCCTGTGACCTCTCTGGAAGGCAGGTCTCCAAGAATGAGCTTGCTATTTAAGAATGGAATATTCTGCCCTCACTGAAAGAAATTAAATGTGAGCCACACAAGTGATTTTAAATTTTCTGGATTTTAAATTTTTCTTAAAAAGATTCAGTTGAAATGAAGTCTGATCATATATTATAGTTAAGCCAGTAGACCCAAGATGTTATCAGATCAATATGTAGTCTGCATAAAAAAATGTTAATGAGCTATTGTACCTCCCATTTCCATACTGAGTCCAACCCAGTGTGTGCATCAACATTATTGCACATCTCAGGTGGCACAGGTACTCACCTGCCACCTGTGCCAGGGGCTACCTCTTGGGCAGCACAGCTTCGTGGCCCTCTGAGAGATTCTCATTATAATAAAGAGAAAAACCTAACAGGGCTTATCTCATTTGCACAAGTCCACACAACTAGTGAGCAACAGGGGCCCTGATTCCACCCAAGTTCCATTGGGCCCCAAAGCCCTTACCCATGAGGCCGAAGTGGGGAGAGGCAGGCAGCTTCCTAACAGGAAACCAGATGGTTACTTTTACATAAGTCAGCAATAGATGCCATAGGCCTGACAGAAAGTAAAATTCCAAGAGGAGAAGGCTATATGGGCTGTTTGTTCCTAGCAGCTCCTGAATAAATAAACGTTCTTTGCCCCTGGTGGGCGAGCATCAGTGACTTCAGTCGTTTTGGTCATATATAGCTGCTGGAAAGAAGATAAAGCTGGGAGTGTTCTGTCCTGAGTGGTTCCTAGAATATTATTTCAAATAGGAAAAATCACTGTGTTTACATTTTTTGAAATCATCCAAAGCTTTTACTTTAAACTTCACATTCCTGTTAAATACATTTATGATGATGAAGGGAAGAGGCAGTTGTGTATGGGGAAGATACGCAATCTGAGCTGCCGCCTCAGGAGCAGGGCCGTCTCCCACGTGCCTATAATTAGCTGTGTGCCCACCTTTGACTCCCAGTGGAGTCCTAGCTGTGCATTCCCAGACAGCCTGTAAATCCCCAGCAGGAAAGGGTCACGGGGCCAAAGGAAATAGCTATGATCCTTCTACAGCTTTCAATAAATAGGAAAGGAGGGAAAATCTGTTGCCAGCTGGTTTGTTGGATTTTATCCTATTTTCAAAAATAAGAGATCTGCAGTGACCTTGGAAGGTCCCCCCTGACATGTGGGAACCACTGCCCCTACGCTTCAAAACATGAACAATGCTGTACCCTTTTCCAACTCATCCTGCATGAGCACTTCCTGCTGCAGTTGGGGAAGAAATTCATCATCTGGTGATATCACGGCATGCCTTTGAAAGGCTGAGGTTAATCACAATAATAAAAGTACAATGAAAGTGAAACTTCAGACATCATGCAGACCTGTTTATAGTTTAAGGCATCTTCTGTTTAGGTTTCTCTCTTTTGGATGACAGGCTATAGCCAATAATACTGTTCCCACTTAAGTAAAAAGGAGCAAACGTGAGCATTTATTTGCCTTTTGTGTCAAGGGTTTTGCCTAATTATATTACCTAATCTTTAATTGGGAAGGCATGGCTGGTTACCATAAAGAACACATGAAAATTTTATGTTTGTGGCATTTCCAGAGTTTTCCAGCTCTTTACTTTTTACTGAGCAACTGTTCTGTTCTCTATCACCTGAAGACAAAGACCCATACCTGTTGGCTAGTTCCTCCACCAGACCTGAGCTTCTTTTTTTTTAAAAGACATATTTCTTTATACCAGAACTGGGTATAGGCTATAGGCACAGGAGGGTGAGAGAATTCACCAGAGACAGAGCGGGGAGTGGGGAGCAGAATAGGCAGATGGACCGAAAGCACTGCTGAGGGGAGCAGCGGGCGAGACAGGAGAGGTCTGCCAGGCCATGTGGGTATCTCCCTGGCCGGCCGGGAATTGAACTGGTGCTGCAGAGGCTGCAGACAGCTTCACGGCGCTGCACTCAACCCTCTGCGCCACCAGGGAGACCCCAGACCTGAGCTTCTTGAACACCTATCCTGGTAGCTGCTGAGTCGGCCCCCAGCTGAAGCCTCTGCAGTCCACACGGGGCTTCTACTCCCTCTGGCCTCCAAACCACTGCATAACTTTCTCAGATCAGGAAGCATAATGGTTGGTCTGGCTCCTAAAGGCTTATGATGTATTAAGCATAAGGTTAAATGCTATTAAAGTCAGGAAAAGGGAGTATTAGATACCCTTCTGGCACCCTCTACAGTAGTGGGCATATCAGCAACACTTGTCCTTCCTGCTCATCAAATGTATCTCAGTCTAAAAAGAAAAAAAGTATTTAGATAAGGAAACTTCTGACATACTGTGTCCATGTTACTGACAGTATAATCCTAGTACATCAAGCGTATAAAACCCAGACTTCTATTATCAAGTATTCACAACCCTTCAGGAGCCTTAGAGCAGACATGGTAAATTCTGCAGGACTGTTTTACTTTAAGTGATTATCTCTTTAGCTTCATTTGTGCACATGTGTGTATACTCCCTCAAGACTGCTTCTGAAAGTGTGTTTCTTCTTTCTCTTATTTTGTCAGGACCAAAAAGCTGATAATTGATGTAATCCGGAACCAACCAGGGAACACATTGACAGAAATCTTAGAGACACCAGCAACTGAACAACAGGTAATTGGTTTTTTTAATGTAAAAGAACAAGTACTATGGATCTGAGTTGATTTTCTTAATCTTCATGCCAAATGTTTACTGTTATCTCAGAAAACTATGTCTGACATGGTTTGGAACTATGGAGTTTTATCTTTTACCCTGGAAAACTGAGTTTAGCCATATATAAAAGCCATAGGGAGTATCAGTAGGAATGAAATAGAACAAGCAGTTCAATATTTATACTAAGTATAATTTAGCCCAGACTAGGAAAGTCGTTTGGGGTCTTTCAGCCCTCAGAATGTTCATCATAAACTGTATCACAGTGGATAGGCAGGTAAGTTAAGAGGCAGTTCTGGTTGACAGGATATGGAAGAATACCTTTCATAGTTTTGTATTTGCTAACCTGAAGAAATGGAGAAGTGTCTCACACTTAAAAATGTTTTCCAGATTCTTCAGAAGAAAATATCTGAGTCCATGGGTCAGTGCACCATTATTCTGGTATAAGTAACTATAGTTTCAAAATAATCTTGTATTAGACTGTTTATCAACATCCTTTAAAATATGTCATTATTTAGTTTGCTCTGAATTAAGTGAACATCAGTGATAACTGCTTTAGTACCAGTAATTGCCACTCCCCAAAACAAAAGATAACAAAATTATCTAATTCGTTATTTCTTTGCAGAGCTACACATAATTTTCCTGAATCATTTTTAATTCAAATGGTTGCCAAGAAATCAGTCACAGTTTGTAACAATATATATATGCAGTAAAACTTCAAATGATGTTGGTTAATGTGTGAACATTTTTTAAACAATGGATAGAATGTTTGCTAATTTAACATGAGACTTTCAATCCTTATCAAATGTTTCATATTTCTCCAAATATCTTTGTACTTCCTAGCTGTGTAACTCTAGGCACCTAGAAATATTTCTGTGCCTCCGTTTCCTCTCCTGTAAAATGAAAATAATAGTGCCCAATCTGCAGATAGGAATGAGTTTAAACATATTCTTTAAATGTGTAGTAATACCTGGCACATATTAAGTGCTGTTACATATTAAGTAATAGTGTCTGCCACTGATGCTATTGTACTGCTGTTATTTATTGCTGCTGACTTAGTAAATTGTTCTTGTGTCTATAATGTTGACCTATCCGTTCTGTTTCCAGCAGCATCTGTGCCCTTAGATTTAACTGGTGGGGTGGCTTACTTACCTTATACAGTGAAATGGGGACAAATGCCATTCTCCCTAATTACTGTAATTTTTTTAATGCTGTCCAAATCATTTTTATTCACTGAATAAGTAATCATTTATTTAAGAATTATCGCATACTAGAATATTTTTTCCCCATTTTGGTTCAAACCCTGCAGGATTTTCAGAGCTGGAAGTTTAAGAATGATCCCCTCATCAGAACAAAGATCTCTGGCTGCCTTCACAGCTTATGAGTCTCCATAAATGTGGCTGATATGGGAGAGTTTAGTAAAGTTGGGTTCTAGATGTGTAGGATCCTCGGAGCCATGTTTTAATGGATAATCTAGTTTTAGTTTCCTCAATAGGCCACACAAGAATTGAAACCTTTTTGTCCAGGGAATTACCAAGTATCAGTTATCCATTATAATATGGCCACTACTGAGGCCCCTTGTCACCTTGCAGTAAACTAGCCATTTAGAATTTTGCCCAGAGTAGACCTGCCACTACTGCCATGTTTCTCAAAGATGAAGTAGTTTCAAAAAAAAAAAAAAAAAAAGATGAAGTAGTTTCTTCTGAGAGACCTACTTCAAAACCCATGAAGAACGTACTCTGGTTCTGGTCTTTGATTTTAGCTTGAGGACTTCTCTCATTTTGACATGAACTTGCCTTTTGCAGCTTCTGAAACTGTGAGATTAAGAGATTTTTAAAAATCAACAATCTTGATCTTCCCTCTTTAGGAAATAAATCACTCCACAGACATGGTAAGCCGTGCCATTATAGATTCCAGGACTCCAGAGGAAATGAAGACTAGCCAGTCTATGGCTGCAGATGCACAGCTGCCTCTGGAGCAGAAAAAGAGGAAAATCCAGAGGAATCTTCGGACATTGGAACAGACTGGACTTGTGTCATCCAAAAATAAATACCAAGACATTCTCAATAACATCACCAAGGTTTTTGGAAACAGTATTCTTTCTTCTTCACATAGTAAACATTTGCTAATCATTGGTCACACACTGGGCACTCTGTGAGGTGACATGAGGGATTCATAGTTGTATATGGCATGTTTCCCCCCCTCTCAATATTACAGACTTGAAAAGGTTTCAAATCGTTGATGACTTTTAATAGACAATAAGCACAACTCCCCCGAGTCATTAGGAGAGTAGGCACACAGCAGATATAAATGCTCAGAAAATGTGATAGGCAAGTTTCATCTATACTTTTAATACCTCCTAGTTTTAAAAATGATACTTTCCAAAAAAAATGATACTTTCAGGCAATTCTTTCTTGAGTTGTTAGTTGTCATATAGCCCAATTGCTCTTGGGATCCACCACTGATATGGTAGTAACTCTGTGTCCCTGAAGTCTTACCTCCAAACTGTCTAGTTAAATATGCAGTTTGAACTTAAAGGTTCATTTCTGTTTTCTTACCGCCTATTTTTTTTAAAAATAATAGATTTTATTTTTATATTCCCCATACAATTGCAACCCCCCCATTTTGACCCCAGCCCCTCCCCCCCATCCCCCACCCCCAAAAGTATCTCTGTTTCATAGTTTTTGTTGATTTTGATTTTCACTTTCTTATAGTTATTCATTTTCCTGGTCCCTTATTTAAGTTTTCTAGATTCCTGCTATGAGTGAGACCATCCGGTATTTTTCTTTTTCTTTCTGGCTTATTTCGCTGAGCATGATCCCTTCCCTATTTTTTACAGTTGAAAAACTTCCTGACAAAAGGACCTCAAATTAGAAAAGGATCTCAAATTAGTGCAAGGAAATATCACAGGAAATGGCCGAGATCTGTTTGCCAAGGATAAAGAAGTATATATTTGGGTAGAAGGATATATATTTTTTAATCCAAATATGCAAATTAAAATGGGACTGCAAGTTAAGGGCAGTTAAGTAATCAGAAAAAGTTTTTACATTTTGGGAGGGAAATACACTCAGCTTCACTCTTCTATGTAAAGTTATGGTCAATTCTGACAGTAGGCTTATTTCTCCCAGCCTGAGTGACTCAAAGGAAGTAACATTTCTTTCTGTGGTTTGATGTGGAAAATACTCTGTTCAGGAATATGTGGTAGAGAAATTGATGCTTTTGCCTTAAAAACAGAAAAAAGCTATCATGAGGGCATCCACCAAAAGATTCTGTTGAATGAACTTTTACTTAAGAAAGGGGAAATCTGATCCCTAGGGGAATGGTTTTTAATTGCTCACAAAGGAAAAATATTTAACTGGCCCCATTTTCTTAAATATTTTCATAACTTGCCAGTTAAAATTACAGAAAACATCTTAAGTCTATAAGTTTAAATATAGCATCACTCTTTTAGATGTAAGCAGCTTAAACAACATTATGTTCCAGGAATTCTATTTAAATCCAAGTAATCAGTACACTGAATCTGCTCAGTCATTCTTGAGAGTCCAGTTGTTTATACAAATCTTGAGAAATATTAACCAGATTAAAAAGTGTATTGTCACTTATTTCTAAAATGACTGCAATAATGAAATATAAGCCTTTTCAATTTCAAGTGTTCTTCGAAGTGGAATGGTCAAAATATTCTGAAGAAATTGCTTCTCTCCCGCTAAAGTCTCCCTTAAGCCCCTTTTTAAGCACCATTTTTCCTTAAAGTTATTTTATGATTATTCTAATTTTTTTTCTTTTCTTTGCCATCAAGAAAATATATAAACCTTTGCAACTCTTAAAGTGAAATAGCGACACTTTCCAGTTCTGAAGTAAAGTATCATAACACTTTAGTGTTGAGATTCAAACAAGGTGACTGAGATGAGCTACAATAGTCATAAGTAGTGATTTCATATTAGATATTCTTTTTGTCCCAAATTGGCAACATCATAAAACAAACTGCTGATTGAATCTCATATGATAACCTTTTTTTCTTGATTTTAGGATATTCGAAATCAAAGAATCCACCGTAAACTTCGGAAAGCCGAATTGGCAAAGCTTCAGCAGACCCTTCATGCACTTAACAAGAAATCAGCATTTTACGAGGACCAAGTTAATTATTATGACACCTATATAAAGACTTGTTTAGACAACTTGAAAAGAAAGTACGTTAAAGTCAAGTTGTTTAGACATCTTGAAAAGAACTTAAGTTAAAGTCAACATCTATAATGTTATGATTAGCCTGGGGTTTCAATTCATCTACAATCCCTGGGTTAGGTTTGAAGCAAACTATTTTATTAAGCAGACCAAGAAACCAGAATCTCAATTTTATTATTTGCCGCTATGAACTAGGAAGTCATGAATGAATTTAGAAATTCAAATTCCACATCAACTTTACTTTGGAATTAAAGTAGCTTACCCTGCTGTGTTGTAAGCAAGTAGCATTAACACTTACAAAACACTTCCGCTCTTTTGTCTTTCTTAGTGAAAGGTGTTTTTTAAAACATTATAAAACAAAAATCAAAGCTGCTCTTGTTTTTGGAACACTTACAATAAACATTGTTTTATGTACTTGATAATGTTAGATAACACCACATATTTGCTAGTCATGCAGTGCAGCTTAATGATTTTTAATTGCTTAGTAGTTTTAAAAAACCATTATTGACACAAAAGACAAAATTTGGCAGTTCTCTGTTACCCATTAGCATGCATATTTTACATTGTTCTTATATACAATATGACTCTTTTTTTAATGAATATTCTTTGCTGGTAATTATTGTTATCACTAGACTAAGGTCAATACTAATCAAATTTTAATTACCCATTTAAATATGTAGTATAATATTTCTAACAATTTGTAATCAATGTGACAATAGAGTGGTGCTGTATGAAAAAATCAATTGCATTAATCATAGAAGAGGTGATGAATGAAAGTAAAAATTTAAACTTCATTTATTTGGACCCCACTAGTTCTGAATTTTAATTCACTTGCTTTTCAGCATAGAAATTACATTCAGACTATTCCTGGTAAAGTTGGTAAAGTTAATTTTCAGTAAGAATAAGAGTTTTAGGGTTTTTCTTTACATATTTATTGCAATTACTTCGAAGCATTTTACAAGCCCTGCAATCAGGTGAACTTGATTTGGATTTCAGTTCTCTTACATTGTGTCATCTGGAACCAGTCCAGCAAACTTCCCTGAACCTCAATTTTCTCAGCTTTAAAGTGGGATTAGGGTACCTACCTCGCAAGTATTCTTATGGAACTGAATGAGAGAAAAGAGTTGACTCATTTTAAAGCCCTATGGAAATGTTGATTTTGATAATGTGCAGTAACACTTAGCAAGCAGTTCAGCAGTGCAAGCCACTAGTGTTTGTTAAATAAATACATAGCGATATTAATGTATAATAATACATAGGGATATACAGTTTATGTTACTCCCCAAAGCTGCTTGTGCAGTGGCTAAATGGCTAAATGTAGCCACCTAGTTCAATATGGCTGAGGAAGTATTGAGAGTACAAGTAGAATAAAAAGTATTGGCCTACAACTCAAACGTTAGTAATTTTAAAAATAACTTAACAGTTATTAACTGTTAACTTAACTCCCTTAAACAGTTAGGGAGTGAGGTTTTACTGCATGGGAAACACAATCTCTTACTATCACAAAATGCAGAGTTGCGCACTCAGTGCAGTGGAGGCCAGTGCTGAGCAGGGGTGTGCCCCAGGGCAAGGTCATTGCACTGTCACACAGCTGAATTTGCTGTTATGATTTGTTCTCCTTTTGCCAGAAATTGTCGGAGGTCAATTAAACTTGATGGAAAAGAAGAACCCAAAGGCACAAAACGATCGAAGCCAGTGAGGTACACGGCAGCAAAGTTGCATGAGAAGGGTGTCCTCCTGGGAATAGATGACGTGCAGACAAACCAGTGAGTGTGACCTGGAACCTGCACAAAAAACACCCCCTTCTAATCACTCACACAAAATCTGACTCATTTCTTCGAATCCCTGTGACCTTTGAGAGAGCTTCATTTGGTCAGTCGAGGCTTACCCTCAGTTACAGATGACAGGGGGAAATACCTCTATTGTAAGTCTAGGTTCACCGCTAGGCCTTTAGCATCTGCTGCTGTGGCCGTGTGATGTGCTGATCAGGTGTGTTTCCCATGGCTTGTCTAGTGCGTTTGGATTTGCCAAGAACTGAGTCACAGCTGTGAGCATGAAAGGCTGTCTGTTGGTCTTGATGGGTAGAGTCATTTACAACTGCAAACAGTACCTTTCTCTTTTCAAAGCCACACAGACAGTGTCAGGGTCTGAGCTCCCCCGAAAATGGTGCCGTCAGTTGAGGAGAAAACAAAGGCCCCACAGCTCCACCAGGTGCCAATGATTCTGTTTTAAGGGAACCATGAGCTCTGTGCACCATCCTGTCCTTTGTCTCAGGGCAGCCAGGCTCACTGTGTGAGCTCCAAATCCCACCTGCCTTTGTGAAATGGCTTGTGTTCCCATAACCAGCCCATCAAAGCTCCCCCTGCCTGAAAACAGCATAAATCAATGTTTTAATTCTTGGGTTCTGCGACTCTCTGATCTTTCCAATTCTATTTTCTACACTTAAAGAATATAAAGTCTTGGTTTGTTTTTGTTTTTTTTTCTAATAAGGCACCTACTTCTATGCTCACAACCAGCTTTATCAGACTTAGCTTTAGGGAACAGAGTAGAAGAAAGATGATGGAGGGTTTGGGGTGATTTCCCCAGTAGATCATTCACTAAGAATGGTAATTAAGATTCCTTAATTAGCTTCTGCTTTAGGCTTTTATTTGCTGCTCCATGTGTTTGAATATCCCTTTCTTCACTAGGTTTAAAAATGTTACATTTGATATCATATCTACTGAAGATGTGGGCATCTTTGATGTCAGATCAAAATTCCTGGCTGTTGAGATGGAAAAAGTACAGCTCAATATTCAGGTAAGCTACTCGGCCTTTTGGCTAAGATCAAGTGTAGTATCAGGTAAGCTTGGGGTCTCTGCAAATTGTGTTGAATTTCATGGTGTAGGTCATTGAGGGGTCCCCTGCTTGTGCTTTCCCCACCATAGTGAAGATTGACAGACAAACAACGCATGCCTTGCTTTCCAATTTTCATTGAAATGTTGCCTTTTTAGAAGCTATGACTTTTCAAATTATTGGAACTTAAAACGCTTTCAGATGCTAAGCCATAGTAGTCCAGTTCTCTAAGCCTTGTTTCAATTTTGAAGCTTAGCAAAAAAAAAAAAACAAACAAAAAAAAAAACAAACATGAAAGTATTCAGAACTACCACATACAAGTTAGAAAGTTTTCTGAAGTTGCCTTTCTAAGGGCTGTGTGTGCCCACATTGGTCCTTTCCTGATCTCATTTCTCTCCCATGCCTCCTTCCCAGGATAGTTCTCCCATCAGTTTCTTATATCTATGTGTTAAGTGTTTGGGATCATAAGAATGAAAGAGATTGTGTGAAACAGGTATCTGTAAATAGAAAAATTGTGTTTGCAATAAGAATTATTGCTACTTTCTCCTAAAACTATATTTAGCCAAATATACTTGAACAGACTTATGTATCCAAAACAGAAAAAAAAAAAAATGCAGGGAGGTTGCAACCAAATATTTAAGTTCATCTGCTCCCAACTTCTTAATCTTTAGCACAGGCTCAACCATATAAGGATTTTTAAATGGAAATAGCACCTATTTACCTGGGCCCCAAACCACTTATAAAATGGTTTCCAGATATTCTTCAAGTATCTCCATGAATCACCTTGATAAGTCACTGGGTATGTTGTAAATTCTGGCCTTGCTGCCTGCTCAGCCCTGGCTGGGAACCTTGAAGCTGCCTCCCCCTCCTGGGAGCCGCTACCAAAGCACATTCTTACTGTCTGGCATTCCTTGTAGCTAAAAAGAAAAATGGGAACTACTTTGTAGGTATGATAAGGACTGTGATAATGGAGTCAATTTGATTGAGAGAGAAAAATTAAATATAGTATGCAATTATGAAAAGCATGCTGAAGTAAACAGTATCCTTTGCTGACTTATTCTAAATGTCACTAACTGTATCCATTTAACAGTCTTGAGTTGAGTTACTTATTTAACACTTAGGTGAAAATGGGAAGAGAAGATAATGTGCTTGTGGCATGCAGATGATTTTCTTCTAGTGATTCTTCTGCAAGTAGCAGATGTGTATCTTGTGGTTGACAAGAAGGAAACCACCCAAGGCAATCAATATGAACAAAGCAGATGAATCACAAGTGACCAAGAAATATCCGTGTAAAGAGGCTCAGGAATTTCATGAGATTCTTTGAACTGGCTCAAGTTCCAAGTTTCACTTGCTCCTTTGTTAAGGATTTGGTGTGCAGTAGGATTAGTTGTTCACCCTTCATTTATATACAATTGATGGTGAAATATTACTCCTTAGCTGTACACAGGTAGCAAATATGCCCCAGATTTTTAAAATCGTTACCATGTTAGGACTAGATATGTAATTTTCAGGAGTCATTGCAAAACAAAAATATAGAGCCCCCTTGTTTAAAATTACTAAGAATATCAAGACAGTGACTATAAAACATTAGACCAAGTGCAGGGCCCTTCTGGAAACCAAGAAGCTGGCCAAGCACACAATGACTGTCAGACATAAAGTCAGACTTGTGTTTATGCAGAGGACTTTCAGACCACGACATTATCGTGTGAGTGGCCAAAGAGAAATGTGATGACCAAGTTGTTAATGTGAGTCAAGATCTGGGAGCCAGATGGAAGTTTCTAAGAGGACTAAAGTAGATCCTTTCTAACATCATGTTCCCAGGTCTTCTTCAGTCCTAAAGGAAATGGTGAGGTTTGATGATATCCTATAGCTGTACATTTTTAGATAACAGAGGGTGTGACACATGTCAGGATGGTCTGTACGCACAGTGGCCCGGGTTCAGCAAGGGCTGCAGGGCTGGCCCTTTTCCTTTCCCTGATGAACAAAGCAGACCAGATTGCTCCCTGTCAAAAGTGCAGCTGGAATCAAATCTTGATGCCTCTGCTCCACTGCCAAGCTCACAGGAGTCTAGTTGATCCTGCCAAGGGTGACCGACAAAGGGATTGCAGAGACCTTGATCTCATTTGGCCAATAGCACCCCTGTGAGGCTGGCAGTGTTATTCCCAGCATGCACACAGGGAAAGAACTTTAGAGAGAGTTTGTGATATCGCAGGTCCATATGATAGCAAATGGTGGAAACTGTACTAAAATCTGGTCTTCCAACCACAATTGCAATCATATTTTCTCTGCTCTACTAATTCCCCCACATACATCATTCCTTCTCAATCATCCTGGTTTCATTCTTTTTTCTTTTTTTTTCTTTTTTTTAATTTTATTTTTATATTCCCCATACAGTTGCAACCTCCTTATTTTGACCCCAGTCCCTCCTTTCCCCTCCCCCCCCATAGAGTGTCTCTGGTTCATAGTTGTTTGTTGATTTTGATTTTTTCTTTCTTATAGCTATTTTTTTCCTGGTCCCTTATTTAGGTTTTCTAAATTCCTGCTATGAGTGAGACCATCTGGTATTTTTCTTTTTCTTTCTGGCTTATTTCGCTGAGCATGATCCCTTCCAGGGCCATCCATGTTGCTGCAAATTGCATGTGTTTATCTTTTTTGAATGCTGAGTAATATTCCATGGTGTGTATGTACCACATCTTCTTGATCCAGTCATCTATTTTTGGGCATTTGGGTTGTTTCCAAAGCTTAGCTATTGTCATTCTTTTTTTCTGAGAGACTTTAACAGATGTTGCATTTCTCAGAGGAAAATTGAATCTCCACTACAATAGGCAAAAGCATGCTTGATAAAAGAATTTCAGCCCCATGTGGATTTTCCATCCCCAAGCACATCTAATGGGAGGGATTTAGTTGTGTATAACTAGAGGTAAGTGAGGAAGTGAACAAAGAAGCTGGCAAGAGCCAAGGTTCCCTCAAAGATGACTTCCAACTTCTGCAGAAGACATAGGCTCTATCATTAAGAAACAACAAGTTTTGAGGACTGGAAACAAGAACATGAAACCTGGGTATTACGTGCAGGTAATCCAGGAATATTTTCTTTTTGGAAAGGCCGACTACCCTGTATGATTATAAAATATTACTCTTTAGTCACACACATGTGACTGGTCTGACCAACCTATTGATTTTAGGAGGAGAATTGATTTCCCTAGTGTGGTGGCAACCAAACAACAATACTGACTTGATAATGTGGGCTTATTCTCAATATAAGAACAGAATTAGCTTAGAACAAAACAAGTAATTTTCTTCAGTGGTTCTCAGACTTCACACAGCTCTATCAGTAACTGGCATGCTCATTTCTCCCTGTTTTTATTTTATAAAGTATATCTGCTCATTCCGCTGAAATAAAAATGTACTTTATAAAATATATCCAAAATCTAAATGTTTAAACAATGAGAAAAATGTAGGAATGATAATATATTTTTTGATCCCTGGCGAATTATCTTCCTCATGCTACTTTAGAAAATAGTACTGTTTCTAAAGGATAGACCCCATCTTGCTGGAATACTTGTGTTTTTAATGTGTCGATTAAAAATTGAAATTATAGTGATATATCTGATATTAATGCTGTGGTTCTTTTCACACAGTTCTTATCAATTCTGAAACTCTTTTTTCTGTGATCTAGATCCATGTTTCTAAAAATAGGACACCCAGACCATCAATATCATCATCACTTGGGAACATGTTAAAATGCTAATTCTTGGGCTCCCTCCACAGAGCTACAAAATCAAGATTTCCCAGGGTTGGAGGCCAGAACTCTATGCTTGAACTAGCTTGTGTTTTGATTGGATGATTCTAATGTACACTAAAGTTTCAGAACCTCCACCTTGGTCACTGGATCAATTGAGTCTTATTTTTTCAACTAATTCATTTAGAATGTTTTTTGAATATGAAAAATGTCAAATTTGAGGATTAATACTGTTCCTTACAATTTCAGGATTTACTTCAGATGCAATATGAAGGTGTAGCTGTAATGAAAATGTTTGATAAGGTTAAAGTGAATGTAAACCTTCTCATATACCTGCTGAACAAGAAATTCTATGGAAAGTGAAGTGCCTGGAGAAATTTCATGGATTCTGTATCATCTAAATTGGGAAATGAATTTGTTTAGTATTTTTGTTTTTAAACATGATTGAAATCACTGCTTATAAACGTGTGATTTTTTTTTTTTTTTAAAGACCAAAACTTTTTTGAAGAATGTACCCATGTGCCTTTTGGATAATTTGATACTACAGTAAAATGATACACAAAATGAATTAACGTAAACACTTCCACGTTATACTGTGGTATAGGTACTCTGATTTAAAATTTTGGACATTCTGTGATCTGTTTTAAAGTAGGGAGAAAATAAATTTAGCTGACTAGGGGACTAATGTGTAAACCTATTTTCCTATGAAAAAATTTTAAATGTCCCATTTGAATAATGTAATTCTGCATAGATTATTTTTATCTATGGAGAAATGGAAACTTAATTATTTGTAATGAATTATTTAGACAGATACTTAGTTCTAAGCCCTATCTTCTCAGAGTTATCAATTTTAAAAGAGAACTTTTGTGCAATTCAAAATGAAGTTTTTATAAGTAACTGAAAGTGACAATATGGTAACATTTTCTGTATAAAAGTATATATTTTATGTGATTTATTCCTACTAAATGAAGTGCACTACTGCCTCATGATAAAGACTCTTGTACCCAGAGCCTTTAAGTGACTAAGGAACAATGTGGATAGCAATCACAGCCCTCACCTCCATTCCTCACAATTTATTTGAATACTGCAATTGTGCCTCTCAATTTTTTGTAATGCAATAAAATCAGTATCTAGTTGGTTTTTAAATGTATTCTTTGAAAATTGTTTTATGTAAAATAAATGTTACTTAATTACATTCATTTGGCTTTTTAGTTGTCTTAATAAATCCAAATCCTTTAGTGGGTGGAAGGTGGTACTGGGGAGGCTAATCAGGAAAAGAAATAACATATTTATAATTGTATTTGCTAGTGACCAAGAGATCTAAAGACTTGTGCCTGGAAACAGGGGAGAAGTTCATTCTTATCAAATTCAGCAATTCAAAGGTAAGTGAGCAGGCCTGCATGTTTATCCAGAGATCCAGAGCAGCAGGAAGGGGAAACAGAAGTTTAAAGCAAGCCGTTTGTTTCAAGTTATAGGAATCACTTCTGCTTACACCTCACTGGCCAAAACTAGTCAAATGGCTACAGCTAGCTTTAGGAGAGGCTGGGAAATAGGGTCCCTAACTCTAAAGCCATGGACCCAGTTAAAACCCTAGTGTGAAGAGGATGGTTCTATTATTAAGAGAAAGGAGCTGTGATTACTGAGAACAGGTTAGCTGTCTCCACCCCACAGAAATCCAGACTCTTGGGTTAGAACCCCGTAAAGCTTTGAATTCTGCTTGTTCAGCAGGCTTTATTTTCCACAGGGGTTACAAAACATTGAGAAAGTAGGTAAGCTTCTAATCATTTAGTACAAATGAGCTTCATTATTTAAATTTAAGATTGCCAGAATTTGGAAAACTTGAATTTTTAAAAATATAAGCTGCTACTTTCCTGATAGGTCCAGGCTATACATATTTTTGACAAAGGAGGTCATGTTTCCTGCCAAAACAAATCCTGCTGAAAACTATTTGTTGCCTCAACAGTTTGTGGATAGGTTTTTAATGCACTAATCTTAAAACAGACTAATGTGAAAGCAGTCAAAGACAGTTAAGATTCACCTTGAAAAGAAACCTCTCCTGGACAGCAAGCATTAGGTGAGGGACTGGAGTCAGAAGAGTAGGAAGCAGCACACGCTTTCTTCTTCATGCTCCAGGAAAGACATGTAGTGGAAACATGAAGGAGGGGCCAAAATTAGGAAAAGATGTTTGAAGACAAAAACTAATCTTTCATGGCATCTCTGAAAGGAGCTAATCTTTTTTTTTTCCTATTTTTTTTAATTTTTTATATCATTGTTCATTTTTAAACAATATTTGCTTCCCCCCACCCCCTCAGGTGTAGTCCCCATAGAGTTTCCTTCACCAATGCACCCGTGCACCATCACCTCAGTCCCCCGAGCTCCTCCCTCCCTCCCTCTGATCCCTCTCCCGCCTCCTCCCCTGCAGGATGTCTCTGATTTATAATTGTCCGTTTTTGCTTTGTTGTGTTTTGTTCTGTTACTATTTTTTTACACTGATGTCTTATTGGGTTCCCCTATATTCTTGCTGTAAGTGAAACCATCCGATGTTTTTCTTTTTCCTTCTGGCTTATTTCACTGAGCATAATTCCTTTTAGTTCCATCCATGTTGCTGCAAATGGCATGAGATTATCTTTTTTGATGGCTGAATAATATTCCATTGTGTATATATGCCACATCTTCTTGATCCAGGCATCTATTTTTGGGCATTTGGGTTGTTCCCAGGTTTTACCTATTGTAAATAGTGCTGCAATAAACACAGGTGTACAGGCGCTCTTTTGAATCGATATTTTTATGTACTTTGGGTAGATCCCTAATAGTGGAATTGCCGGGTCATATGGTTGAAAGAAGCTAATCTCAATTTATTCTGTCACCGAGTGATATGCTTGAATATTATCTATACCAATAAAGAATTTTGCGTCATGCCAATACCCTGAAGGAAAGCTATGAATGTTTTCTTCTGTTGGCCCACACAATGAGGTTAAGATATCGCCAGTTGTCGCTTGTTTGAGGCTTTGAAGGGACAGGAATGAATGACCCAGAGAGGAAAGCAGGTAATGGAGCGGGAAAAAGAAGCCAGTGTGGGCATGGGAACAGCGATTGTTGGAGCCAAGGCCTGTGCCCCTCCCAGGAGGACTGAACCAATCCCCAAGTCAGGGGGCAGTTGAATTCCTCATAACCTGGAGCCACTAAAGCCTCTTGACCAGTGTAAAGGAGGAAAGATAATTTTCCCTCTACCCTTCCAAGTTCTTGGCTAAGATCACATTAATAAGACAGATTAACAAGAGAAAAACAGAAGTTTATGAATGTGCACAATTCATTTATCCCTGAAGGATAGCTAGGAAAACTGAGTAAAACCGTCCAAGCTACCACATTAATACCATCTTCATGTAAAGACACAAGAAAGATGTTGGAGGATGGGAGATGGTAATTTTCAGGAAAGTGAGAAGAGAAAATATGGGATAAAGGATTGCCCTACTGAAAGCAGCAAAGCGGGGGAAGGTCACTGTGAGCTCTTTGCCCGTGTGCCCACAATGCAAGATACGGTTCAACCTCGGTGCAATGATGACAGGGTTTCCTTACAGAAGGAGACCGGGGTAAGAAGAGTTCCTAAGGCTACAAGTGGCCAGCTGTCCTTCCCCAGGTCGTGTCCGCAGTGTCTAATAGTCCAAACCAGAAGCTGCTCATGCAAAATGGTGGTACTCCCCACCCCATGAGAGCCTGGAACTGGCACACAACCCAGGAAGTGGTGGACCGGATCCAGCTAACCTGTGGCAGCTGGGGTTGTCACAGGTGGTACTGCTGAGGCCCCACCATGGCTGCGTCTCTCCTGAAGCAGCATCTGTCTCCTTCGGAAGCTTCTTCCAGATTGCGCTAAACCTCCCAATCTAGCCCACCTCCTGAGTGGACTGAAGCCTTGGCAGCCCCAAGCCTTCTTTCAAGCTGGTTCCAAGCCTTCCTAGGAGCTCCTCTCCCAGGCAGACTTTCTGCAACCACCAGAGGCCTTTTCGTGGTTAAATCTTTCATTTGTACAAGTTTTCTCCAGTAGGAGCTCTCTCTCTGAGCTAAGCCCTGTTTCTTATGCTCTTTTTCCTTACAAAAGGAAAGCTGGTCAATTTTCAGAGCTTCTCCTGTATCTGCAGTTTCTTAAACCAATCAGCTCAAAATAAACCTGATGCCAAAGAAGCATCAAAATATGGCCCCCGTCCCATGCTCATATTTTTTTAATGGGAAGGGGAAATTTTTTTTTTTTTTTTTGCCTTTAAGGCACTTAGCAATTGAAAGAACTTGATTTTTGCATAAATAACTCAGGTATTTTGATGTACATTCGATCATGTTTCCTCTGTTAAGAAATGATCTTCGGGGCCTTCCCTGGTCGCGCAGGCAGTTGAGCACCGCACTGTGAAGCTGTCTGCAGCCTCTGCAGCACGGGTTTGATCCCGGCCGGCCGGTGAGAATCCCACATGGCGCAGCAGACCTCTCATGTCTCGCCCACTGCTCCCCTCAGCAGTGTAGTTCATCAGTCTGACTGTTCTGTTCCAGGCTCTGTCTCTGGTGAATTCTCTCACCCTCCCACGCCTCTGGCCTGTACCCCGGTTCTTGTATAAATAAATAAATCTTTAAAAAAAAAAAAAAAAATGATCTTCACTCTGGAAGACTAAGAGTCCATGCTCCCCTGAACTCCAATTTTCAGTATCTGGAACTTAAAAGGGTACACAGGACTTAAGTAGCACCCTCCTACACTCAAAAGATCTGTGTTTGATGCCGGCAGTGAGGAAATCACACTGCAATCTTTGACTATCATATGTATGCTGGTGTATGCATGTGTGGCTGGGTGCTAATTAGTGGTACTATTTATGATGTCATTTTTACAACTTGGGCTGTGGTAAGTAGGTTCTGTGGTGCTCCTCAAACACTCCAAGAGTCAAACCACAGTCTTCTGAATAGTAAAGTCATCAATGTTTTGTGAGATTCTGGTCAGTCTTGGTGGTCTTATTTTTGATAAGCTTTTGAAAAATCTTTTTTGTCTCTGCTACTGAAACCAGCACTTAATAACCTTAGTAGGTTAAGATAGAGCCCCCTAAGTTGTCCTGTAAGCTCCACAGCACAGAGATGTCTCCATCACTGCTGAGAGTCCAGAGCCTGGCAGTGCATTCTAAACGACAGAGAGGTAGAGGCCCAGAGGTGGGTTCTTCAGTGGACTGAGAAAGAGACTGACCCCCACCACCCCATGGCCCCTCAGGAGCCCCCATCTTGCTTTAGGTTGGCCCTTGTATGAATGGGGAGTTTACTGGTAGCCTCAGTCTAACAACATATGCGCTCTCAACTCTTACCTCCAAAGAAGATAATGCACACAGATTTTTTAGATTGCCTTTCTTTCTAGTTCATTTTCTTTAGAGTATAAAATCTCTTAGCTAAAATATATTGGAACCTGTGATGGTTCATTTTATGCATCAGGGATAAGGGTTGCCCAGTTAGGTGACAACGAATTATTTGGGGTGGGTCTGAGTAGAAAAACCCCCTCACCAAAGCAGGTGTGCATCATCCAATCTTGTGAAGGTCTTAATAGACTCAAAAGGCTGAAGAAGGGCAAATTCTCCCTTTCTCCCTTCTTGAACTGGACAACTATCTTCTGCCCTCAGACATCAAAACTCTTGGATCACAGGTCTTCAGTCTCAAGACTATACAACCAGAAGCTCAGCCCCCACATAAATCTAGAAAAATGCAAGCTGCAGAAATATTCCCTGTGTAAATATTTAAAACAAAGCAATACTAAATTTTTAAATATGCAAATGTACTAAGAGTACAAAAATGTAGATGAGAAAATTAGAAAAATAGAAACAGAAAGTACCCAAAAAGTTTAGACAGCATAGGATAGATGTGCATTTACATATATCTGTTGATGTCTTATAGGCCCAGGGGTGTTATATTAAGCACTATGCTCTTCTCGGCTTGAGATGTGTAATTTATTTTTTTAAAGATTTATTTATTTATGCATGTAAGAGCTGGGGTATAGGCCAGAGGTGCTGGGGTGAGAGGATTCACCAGACACAGAGTAGGGAACAGAACAGGAGATCTACTGAAATATACTGTTGGGGAGCAGTGGGCGAGACAGGAGAGGTCTGCTGTGCTATATATGTGGGTCATCTACCTGGCTGGGGATGGAACTCTTGCTGCAGTAACTGTGGATTGCTTCATAGTGCTGAGACTTAACCCCTTGTACTACCAAGGAGGCCCGAGATACTGTGTAATTTAAGGAAAAATCACACAAACTATAATGGAATCCTGTTCAGTTATTTTTTGCTCTCAACGTAGTGATTTTTCAAAATGTCTCCACCCTCCAAGCCCCACCACCACCAGTAGCTTCAGCGTCAGCAGCACCTGGGAACTTGTTAAAAGTGCAAATTTTCAGACCATACCCCAGATTTCCAAAAGAGAAACTGAAGGTGGGGCCTAGTACTGTGGTTTAACAAGTCTTCCAAATGATTCTGAGTAATGCTAAACTTTGAGAACCACTGACTTCAAATACTGTATTTCAAACTTTGACCTGATAGACATATTATCACCTGGGTTCTTGTCGTCAATGTGGACAACTGAATCTGATTTCATAGGTCTTAAGTAGGGTCACAGAATCTGCTAAACTGAAGTTCAAACCACTGTTTTTAAAGGTGAATTCAACTTTGGTGGCTGCATGATTAGCAATCATCTGTTTTCTTTTAGAAAACACTAAAGAAATAACTTCATTGTGTTAACTCCCCCTCCTTATTGTATTTAGCCTTTCTAAAGGATACTTTAATTTAGTTAACATGACCAACAAATTTAAACATTTCCTTGTTTCAAGGGCCCTGGTTTTGTCAGAAGAGGTACATTCTGTTCTAATTAAGAGGAAAAAAACACCCTTTTAAACTTCACAGTTTTGTAAAAACGGTTAAAGACACTTTTCACCAATAAAATCAATAAAATTTAAGTGTAATCATAGTACACATTATTCCACTTTTTAAGAATTTGCACATATTTTGTGGAGACATTTTCTTGAATGGTGGACAGAAACTGTCCACCATTGGTGGATAAGAATATCACAGAGTGAGGTTCTTAGAAGGGGAGGTTAGAGAATCTAACTTTTCTTTAATATCCTTGGTCTCATACATTTTTTTAGGCACGTCTATTGATTACCTTTTCATTTCATACAGTATGTCTAACCACCCTGAATTGACATGTTTCTTACAGTCACCAGCATGTCATAGTTTAATTGTCAGTATGTTTTTCTTGCTTTTGGTACATAAGTTGTGCATTGAAATCAATGGCATGTTAGCATTGATGAAAAATAGGGCGGCGTATGTTAGCCCCGAGGGAAGAAATTTCTTCCTTGCGTATGTGTTCTTTGGAAAATTGAATAGGGATAATTTTTAAATAGCACTAAATTGTTTTATTTAGTAATTTTAGAGCAGCTTCTATGCACACCAGGGCGCTGTGCTCTGAGGATGATAGGGGCTGGGGAGTAAAGGGAAGAACAACATGGTCTTTGCTATATTTTCTCCTCTGGCTTCACTATCAGGATTCTCGTTGTGGAATGACACTCCCGCTGTAAACTTCCCTTTTAAAAAAGCTTAAAACCTGACCCTTGCCTCTCAGCGGGCAGTTTATCGGCAAAGGGCACAGAACACGCCCGCACATCTGAGAAGAGAAAGGGCTGCGGATAAACTTTTCCTAGAAACTGCCGGGAAGGGGAGCCAATTCCGGTTGCGGTCGAAAAGGCCAGATAGGGTCTCGAAGCAGAATTAACTGCGTGCTGATGCCGCCGGGGCCTCAGGCGCCACGTCCTCCACGGGGTCTTTAGGTGTCCCCAGCCCTGCGACTTGAATTTGCCCAAACTATTAAACTCAAGTCACAGCGTCCAGGAAAGCGCGAGCGCCCCTTAACAGAAGAACACAGGGCGCTGCGCCCTCCCGGCTTCGCTTTTGCAGGAGGCGCCCGCAGGGCGGGTGCGCAGAGAACAGCAGCCCGGGGGCCCTGCGGGGCCGGCCGAGGCTCGTTTTAGAGGAAAAACAGTTACACCGGGTGGGGGCGGGAAGGAGAGGCCGCCCTGGGATGGCTGGTTCCACTCGCAGCCGGAGTGTCCGTGAGTAAGTGCCCGCGTATGAAATGTCTAACTGCGCAAAATACAGGGAAACAACAACAATAATAATAATAATAATAATAAGATGACGATGATGATGATGATGATGATGTCAAAAATTCCGTCCAGGGCCTCCCTGGTGGCACAAGGGGTTAAGACGCAACTTATGAAGCTATCCGCAGCCTCTGCAGCCCGAGTTCGATCCCCAGCGGGCTAGGGAGCTACCCACATGGCGAGGCAGATCTCTCCTGTCTCGCCTGCTTCTCCCCTCAGCAGTGTATTTCGGTCAGTCTGCCTGTTCTGTTCCCCATTCTGTCTCTGGTGCCTGTTCTGTTCTCCATTGTCTCCAGTGAATCCTTTCACACACACACACACACACACACACACACACACACACTTCTGGCCTGTACCCCAGTTCTAGTATGCATAAATAAATCTTTTTTTTAAAAAGGTGCCATTCTCACAGGTGTGAGATGATACCTCATTAAAAAAATAAAAGAGGGCCTCCCTAATGGCGCAAGGGGTTAAGCACCGCACTATGAAACTGTCTGCAGCCTCTGAAGCACGAGTTCACTCAGCAGTCAGCCAGGGAGCAACCCACATGGCGCAGCAGACCTCTCCTGTCTCGCCAGCTGCTCCCCTCAGCAGTGTGTTTCAGTCAGTCTGCCTGCTCTGTTCCCCACCCTGTCTCTGGTGAGTCCTCTCAGCCCCCCCATCTCTGGCTCTTGTGTGTATAAATATTTAAAAAAAAAAAATTCTGTCCAAATGTAGGAATTCTGTCCTTACCTATCATTACAGAATAAACTGTTTAATCCATAGCCCCAAGTCACTTTCAAAGTGGTCGCTAATGGAGTTCCCAAATAAGGTCCGTGCTTGAAGCCCAGCGCCCTGCGGGGTCCAGGAGGTCTGGGCCTGGGCCGAGGTGGGCCGGCGCCCCGGGGCGCATCTTTGATCCCGGACCGCGCGGCCGTCCCCGCTCTCTGGGAGGGCAACTGAAGGCTGAGCCAGCAGCGGCCGCGTTCCACGGCCCTGCCAGACTGAGCCGCTGACAGATCCGCAGGTCCAAGCTTCCCAGAGGAAAAACTGTCTGGTTCGGATTCCCGCGCGGGCAGCGGCGGGCTGCGGGGGCCCGGGACGGAGCCGGGGAGACCCGGCTGGGGGCGCAGCGCGCGCGCTAGGCAGCCGGGTAGCCACGCTCCGGGGGCGGCTGAGCGGGAACCGAGGGGTACGCGGGACGAGGGCCGGCGGCCGCCGCGAGAAGGCGCGCGCTCCGCGCCGGGGGGCGCTCTTCCCCCTCGCCCGGTCCCGCCCCCGCCGCGCCCCGCCCCCGCCCGGCGGCGCAGGACGAGCGCGGGCCCGCGGGGCGCCGGAGTCTGCGGCCGGGCGGCGAGCGCTCAGTCCCACGCAGGCACCCGCGGGCCGCCGGACCTGCCCAGGAGGACGAGCGCGCCGAGGCCGGGCCCCGGAGGCGGGGTCGTGTCCGCGAGCGGCCGGGCCGCGCAGACCGCGCCGAGCCCCGGGACAATGGGACCGCGGCGGCTGCTGCTGGTCGCCGCGGGACTCAGCCTGTGCGGCCCCCAGCTCTGCGCCCGCGCCCCGGGCCGACAGCGAGGTGAGAGCCGCCCGCGGTGCTTCCCCCGGTCCCTTCTGGCGCGGCAGCCGGGCCGCCGCGGGAATGGGGCGCGCGGGAGGAGGGGCGCGCGGGAGGGGACTGAGCGGGTCCGCACAGCGCCCTTTCTTTGAGGAGGGTGCCTCGGACCGCACTTTTGCCTCAGTTTCCTCTTAAAACCGAGCAAGCGTTAGGGCTGAGATCGCGCGTCCTCCTGTCCCACCTCGGTGGCGCGCCTGTCCCACCCACCCAGCCGACGCCCCTTTAGCCTGGCTCTGGGGGGTGCAGCCGGCCTGCGACCGGTGCTAGAGATGGAGGATCCAGGCGTCGGATTTTCCAAGGGAAGCTGTGGCCACTGGTTGCATTTGCTGTCGCTGTGTGGCCTGTTTATCTCAGGACCATCCCCCAAAAGAAAGGGTCTCACGTTGCTCCACCAATAAACGTCTGGCCTTTTCAGTATAAAATGGAGACCCGCGCCAGCCCAAGTTCTGTTCTGTTGAGATTGTTTCTCTTGTACATTTCGCAGAGGGGGAAAGTGGTTTAGACAAAAACCTCAGTCCCTTTGTCCATGTAGTAGAAAGTGGAGCCAGAGAGCCATAAGAGATAGCCATTGGGAGGTGGGTGGCACTTGTTGGGAAGTTTTGTTTGTTACTTGGAAGCTATTGGTTCTAAGTGAGTGGAGGAAAAGCATATCCTCTGCTCCCTCCGACACCATCTGATTTCAGTATTTCAGTTTCTGGTCTGCTGCAAAGAGGAGGTTGCCACTAATTTAAGTGTCTGACTACTTGACCAAATAAATGTATTTTCCAACCTCTCCCCATAAAAAACAAGACACAGGAGTTTTCAGCCTGTAAAGACACTCGTTAAAATGTGTGTGTTTTGGGGGGGGGGTAGCATATTTTTGTTTCCTTTTAGTAACAATACTTTATAAGACTAGAGCTGCCTTTTTTTTTTTTTAACATGCAGAAGCAAATTCTGGCTGTTTGCCTTTTTATCAGTGAAAGATTGTCTATATGACTTCCACTCTGGAAATCGTATGAACATATCAAGATTAAGAGGTGGCACAGTACATTTCCTCTGCCCTACTTTGCTCTGGGTGCATTTGCAGATAGGCCTGCAAAATTTTATAGCAACTAACCTGTGGGTAAAATGAACTTTATCTCTTGGGATGTTTGTGTGGTGATATGTGATGTCAGATATTACTGTGTAATTTTATTTCAGGCCAAGCTCTTGAAAATACAAATTTTCATTGGGATTTGGGGGAGTAAGGAATTCTTTCACACAAGTGCATATTCCTCCGTAGTCACCTTTCCTCACAGGTGTCCCTCAGGAAGCTTTTTGGCCTCATTTAGAGAGTGAGATTAAGGCTGCATGGTGCATGCTAAGGTGAACAGAGCTCGTGTAGACAGAAACATCGCTGTACAAACTTTAACTACTTTGTCTGTGCCGGATCCTACTTTGGAAGGGAGAATAGGAAAGAGGATGAGAGAAGAACAGGAAAGCTGTTGATTCTTGTCATAGTCCATGTTGAGTCTAGGGGGTAGATTCACATCACATTATCTCATTCTCCCTCTCAAATCAAGTTGTAAAGTGGGTGTTTAACTTTGCTGATGGTGAAATTAAAATTCAGAGACAGTAGAGGAAGGGGTCCTGGGTGCAAGGATTACTCTTTGGAGAATTTTTAAATCAACCAAAATAGGCCTCCTTTTTATTATCATTGCACACTGGAAAATTTAAACACATCTGTCATAACCAGCTCTCTGTGATAAGAGCGGCCGGAGACCCCAGCCCATAGGAAATCCTGCCACAGCCTACCCCACTCACCCATGCGAACTCATCCCAGGCACACTCGGACTTTTTGTTCTGACTCATTTTGGCATCTCTTGCTTTGTCACTTTGTGAGTATCTCATCTCCTTGACCAAGAACATAAATTTCCACTTATCCACATGAAGTCTAGAACAAATCTTCACTCAGTAGATATTTATTGAGAAATTTGTTAAGTCCATTAACCAGTTTATATTCCTGTATCCAGGTGATTTTAGTGAGATGACTCGCCTTCATCAAAGAGGGTCAGTGTCCAGGAGATGTGTATAAACTTTGCGAGCATCCGTTATATCCAGTCATCAAATCATGTTGTACACCTGAAACAATACCTGTTATATGCCCCAATAGACAAAATCTATTAAATATTTTTATAAGGATCTGGAGGGTAAAAATTTCAAGAATGGCTTACAGTAATTGGCAGAGGGGCCTGGGTGCTGCTTTCCTGCCCACAGGGTCAAACCTGATTCTTTAGCATAGAGTGTGGTGCCCCCTCCTTGCAGAATGGGCCCCTAACCTCTTTCCAGTACCCCATTACAAATCCCTGCCCTATTATATGACCAATTGTATTACCTGTGCTACACCCAGCCCAACCCACTAGTTCTTCCTCCAAGAACTTTGCTTTCTCTGGCTTCCTTCTCCCTGCCACCCCCTGTGCCCAGCATGCCTTCTTTCACAGTCCATATGTTCACATTGAATAAAAAAGTTACCCCTCAATGAGGTACCTATCAGGCAACATCCTACCTGTACAGTCTTATTTACTTCTTATAACAACCCTTTGAATAGATGTCATTCTCATTTTCAAGTAAGGGAACTGAGACCCAGAATCCTTAAGTGACAAGTCTAGTTAAAAGAGGAACTGGGATTTGATCACGTCTGTCTTTTTAAAGTGCAAGCTTTCTCTACCACACCCTATCAAAAAGAAGCCATCCAGACCTCTAGCCCCTCTTGGAGTATTAAGTAGTCCCCCTGTGCTCCCAGGGACCTCTAGAAGGTAAAGTCAGTGCCTCATTGCCTTGGTAGCTCAGGCCTAGCACATGGAGGAGTCTTGTAAATGTTTATGCTTGCCTGCTGTTTGGTGTCCTGCCATTTACTTTTGCTAATAGATAAGGCAGACTATAAATAGATCCCTAGTGGTGAATATGCCAATTAATTGACTTTTACTCAGAAACTGAAATCTTAAGCTGAAGCATAGAACACAAAACTGGACAATGATTCTGGTGTGTACGCAGACCAGAAACCTCTGTAAAACCTGAAATTCAGTTTTCTTATGAACCAGCAAGTCATTTGCTACTATAATATCTATCTAAAAGAATTTCTTTCTGTTTTCCTTTCTTCCCTCCCTCTCTCCCTTCTCTCTCTCATGTATGCTTTCATTCATTCATTGTGACTTTGGCTTTATTTTTACCAGACACATCAAGATAGTATGATGTCTCCTAATTTGTCCACCTTTCCTTTGTGTGAGAGCTTATTGAGGCGTTCTGACTCTTTCTCAGGAATATTCTGCTGTCCTCTCTGCTGGTTACCTTCCATCATGTGCTGTGGCCCTAACCTGGTTTCTCAGCAGCTCACAATGTTCCACCTTTCCAGGATGTTTTGCCCAGTCTTCTCCCCTGGGCCCTTGCTGCCCCCTCCCTTACCCCTCAGTTCACCCGGACCCACATTTCTAATCTTTTCACGCTCCTTATTTTGGGCACACACCCCTTTTTCGCTCAGAACTCTCATTAATAGGTCGTATTTTTAAGTTGAGATAAAATTTACATAGATACACTTAACCATTTTAAAGTATAGAATTCAGCAGCATTCAGTACATTTACAGTATTGCACAACCATCACCCCTATCTAGTTCTAAAACATTTTCATCACCCCAAAAGGAAGCCCTGTACCTGTTAGCACTCAAGAAGCTCCCAACCCCTTGCACCTCCTGTCCATACTTACAACCTCTTTTGCTGCAGGTGCTCACAAAACATCTAAGAAGAGACATTACGGACCATGGCTTTGGTTTGGTTTTTACTGTGATGCTAAGATGCCACCGTTGCGACATACAGACTTTTCAGTTTAGTTTCCCTAGTTTGTGGTTTCTTTCTTTCTGCCATGGGCCCTCTCTTGCTTTTGCTAGAACTCAGAGTAAATAGTTCTCTGTACAGGCTGATACTGTTTTTTCCTGGGTATGAACGTCTATTTCTCTCAAACCCCCTTTCCATATTGTGCTTGGAGAAACCCACTGCAAATAGGGCCTCCTCGCCATCCCAAAGCATGGATGTTGTTTTGCCACATAAAAGGCGGTGGTAGGCCTTTATATGCTTTCTGGACAACCCTGTCTTTTAAATTAATAGGAATTCTCCATAATGTGCACTTGAAAATAAATTTATTTCACTTTAGGAAAGGACATTACATAATCTACTTATATTTCAAATCCACAATGAATTGAATAAGACGTTAAATAGTATCGTGAGAGAGTGTTTTCCACTGTTTTGGTTTTTGTCGGCCAACATCAACGGTAGGAAGTATACCTACACCGGGTGTGCGTGTGTGTAGTAAATATACATGGACAGTCATCGTATCTCCATAGCTACAAGTCTAGAGTGCCTCGACAGCCCTGTAAGTTGATTTTATAACACTGTTGAATCTCTACCATCTGCAGGTGCAGCAACTTATCTGTAGTTTGCAGAATTAAAACCCTCAGTCCTGTAAGAAGAGTTCCACATTCTGTAAAGGGCTGTTTATGATGTTTCTATCATATCTAGAACCTAATTTGAGTTTAGGTTTACACACTGAGATAGACTTGGGCGGAGCTGGGGTTGGAGACAGTTGGTACCGGCAGGAACTAGTGATTAGTAACATCTTTTCCTGTGAATTAGTTTTCCTTTTGGTTCTTTGTCTTGGAGAGGGTAGCATTACCAGACATAATATGCTCAGGGCTGTAAGTTGTGGTGGACAACTGTCCTGAGGAATGGGGAAAACTAGGAGGAATCTGAGAGGTTCCCCAGAGGCCTGCAGTGTCCTAAGACCATGTGGCCTCCAGGAAGCCCCAGCCAAAGGTCCCAGCTTACCTTGTCCTCTCTATGCCTGCTTTGGTTTTGGATACACTGATGTTTAAATTTGCTGGTTGTCTTTGCTTTGCACTTAACTGAAACGGCCTCTTGCCCAATTTTTTCCTAGGTGTGCTTTCCAGTTGAGT